AGGGGCAGGGGTGTCAGTAAGCCACGCTGCCTGGGACTCAGGCCTGGGACGGTCAGGACTCGCCGAGGTTTTCGCCCTCTCAGGCTGCTTTGAGCCTCTCTCCCCCCGCACATCCGGCGGTCTGCCGAGCCGCCAGTGGTGTGGGGCTGCCTCTCAGCTCTGGCTTCCAGGTATCCAGGGCTGGGGTGGGGAGCTGTGATCTCCGGGGCTTTCCAGGGCTCAGCTCCTGTGCTTGCCTGAGATGATACAGTTGCCAGAGGAGGTGGCTCGCGGAGCACGGAGGCAGGTGCTTAGCTCCACCCTCTAGAGACAGGAGGCCCTTAGGCCAGTCCTTGACCCCCCTGTGCCTCCATTTCCTCACCTGTAAAATGGGGCCTGGGTTTGAGCTTGTGATGGGAGCTTTGGGACGGGGCAAAGGTGGGCGCTTGCTGGAATCGGGAAGCAGGCACCCTCTCAGCGGGGGCCTGGAGGTGAGCCAGCAGCTCAGGTGCCGAGGGGCGGCTGCCTCAGGGTGCAGGCCTAGGGGAAGCTCCTCAGAGGCTGCCACACCAACATGGGGGCAGTACACCCAGAAAACGGGTTTAAATGCAGGAGGGCGCCCCCTGACTGGGGAGAACCCCATCTTGGTGGAGCAGGAGATGGAGCCCCCAGGGCTCGGGGTGAGGGCTGCCCCCCCCCCGTGTGAGCACAGAGGAGGGGTTACGGTGCAGCAGGGGGGCCGAGGAGAAGCAGGTGGGGGCATCTCAGAAAGCAAAGCCCATGAAAACGCGGGGCGGGGCAGCAGCCGGGAGCGCGGCTTCCAGATGGAAGAGACCGCCCAGTTCTATACGTTTTAATACAGAAAGCTTAGAAGACGGCCTGGAGGACCCGACGCGCCAGCCCTTCCACGCAGACACATGTTGTCTCTCGTTAAACTTCGTGCACTTGCTCCTCTGCCTTCACGAGCGTCCCGTGCAAGTAATTGGGGAAAAAACTTTTAAACGAGGGTTGGTCCTTGGAGAGTGCACCGTCCTGCGCTGACCACGAGAGGCCGCGGGGGGCCGGGGCCGGGCGTGGCCTCGGGCCTGGGGAGCGCCGTGGGTGTTGGGTGTGCCGGAAGCTCTTGGAGTGGCAGAGCGATGTGCGGGCAGCTCAGAGGAGGGGGCCTGCTGGCTCCACGTGGGACCACCCTGGCGCGTGGCCACAGGGGCGGCCCTCCGAGCTGCAGGAGGACATGCGGGGTCAGAGTGTCTGGAGTGTCACTTCCCCGGAGACCCACTGAGGGGGGCCAGAGGACCCCTCCAGAGGAGAGCCCAGCCCTGGTGGGACCACTCTGTTTCTCTCTAAGGCCTGTTCCCAAGAATGGGGCCAGGGCCCTGGGCAGACCCAGCAGCAGCCCCCGGGGCCGGCTTCCAAGGGGACTCCCTGAACAGCACGAGGGCCCCAGCCTGCCCCCTGCCCCCCCAACCCCCGCCTGCCTGGGCAGCGACGGCCTCGAGGAGAAGGCCCAGCGATTCTGAGTCCGTGATGTGTGATAAATCCCAATATTTTTGCCATTAAACAATAGCGTCGCGAGGGCTGAATTGCCACCTGCAATGAGTAAATTAAATATCGACGATTCCATTGACTGTTAGATTTAATTTGGAGCCATCTTGCTGGGGCCGTAATGGGGCTGGGGATGACTCACTCTTTGACCCGCCTGTCGTCCCCGTTCAGAGCTGAGTAACGAGGAAGGATGTGCTGTCGGGTGAGGAGCTGCCTGCCAGGCCCCGCGCTCCCTCTGCCTGTGCGGCTGGGGCTCTCGAGCGGCCCTGCTCCTCCCCAGGGGGAGCTTGTCCGCTGGGAGCTCCTGTTGGGAGCTCCGATCACTGACCTTGTGGACGGGCTGTCCTGTGGGGCCTTGCTGGAGCAGACACCTCACTGGGGTAAGAGGCCAAGCGCCCCCTTGAAGGCCGGGCACAGCAGAGGCGCCGGAGAGTGCGGGCAGGAGGGTGCACAGCGCTTCCCAGTCTACGGATGTCCCCGCAGCCCACGCTCCGTTCTTACCGGGAAGTGGGGAGTGGGGGGGGGTGCACTGAGACAGCAGCCACTGGACACGTGGGTGAGCCTGGGAATCCGGAGCAAGCTGGGTGTTTAGGAGCTGATGCGGTACACGGGTTAAAATTAAATGACATGAAATGACAGTATGTTGGCCGCCTTGTTCTGGAATGTTCCGTGGCCAGGACCCTCACGTCCCCTCCAGCTTCCATTCCTGATGGGAAACTAAGGCCCCTCAGGACTCGGCCGTCTTCCTCGTGATTTTGTTTCTCCCCCAGTTCTGGCAGCTTCTTCCTTCTTCACCCCCATGTCTTCCTTCTACCCCTCCATGTGTCTGTGAGACGAGGTTCAGCTGGTGGGCGGGAGGTGGCGGGATGAGGGGCGACGGGTCCTCCCTGTCCCCCCACTGGGTCTGTTCCTTGGCGGGTGTCTCAGGGCCCAGCCCCCCACATCCCACTGGTGTTGGTTCCGTGTGGCTGTTCTTGCTGACCTCGAGGACGCCCCTGCCCCAGATCCTGCGTGACTTCGGGGCTGCCACCTGTGGGGCACGCAGCACCCTCCCTCCCCAACCTGTGGTTGCCAAGGGACTGGCGGACTTTTTTTTTTTGCCCACCCTCCAAATCACAGCCCTGATTCTGGTCCAAATGCCATTTAGAGTGTGTATTTCCTACTAAATAGCATAAAATTACACCCTTTCAAGGTAATTAAGCCACTTTGCAACACTGGAGGTTGCTGAGCGGGTGTTTAAATGTCAGCGCGGAGTAGCCACTTGTGTGTGCTGGGGTCTTCTGATTACGAGCGGTCTCCAGCAAAGCCCTCTGCACTAGTTAAGTGGCGCTGGGCGGCCTGACCAGGCTGGCCCCTGCTTGGTCAGGATCACCGGGACCCAGTGGGCGAGATGCCTGTGCTGGCAGCCGGGCCTTCGTCTTCGGGCCACCCCAGGGGCTGCTTTGAGGGGCCATGTGTGCAGCGCCCCTGGGTCGGAGCTACAGAAAACAACCCTTCAGGGGCTTTGGGGTGCAGGGCAGGGCCGGGGTTTGCTTGCTCCCCCCAGCCTCACAATGATGGCCAGTCCTAGGAGGGTGGTCTCACCTGACCTCTGGGCCAACTTGGACACCTGTGCCTTCAAGGAGGTGGCCAGCAAGCAGTCACTTTGGAAGAGGTGTGGAGCCACCTCCAGCCGGACGCACAGCTCACTCCTGCCCGTGCCGCTGGCCAGGAGCCCACGTCGGTTCCCACCTGCACAGCGACGGCTGGGCTCCTGGGTGTGACCTTCAAGGCCTCAGTGGCAGACCGGCCCACCTCCCCCGATACCCCCTTTGGCATCCACCTCTGGCTGTGTGCTCCAGCTCCTGGATGCCCCGACCGTCCCCCCATAACTCCCTGAACACCCACTTGGAACATTCTGGCTCAACTGTGCAGGCCCAGCTCAGATGTTGCCTCCTCCAGTGGCCCACCTGCTCTCCAGCCCCTTTTCTGCTGCCTTTAATGATTATTCCTGTTACAAAATGTGCAAAAGCTTCTATAATTAGCTCCCGTGCTGTCCCCCAATAAGCAAGCAGCATCGGATGAGCTTGTTCCAGGCCTGTTCTGGAGTTGAGACACGGACAAGTGGGCGCCCCCTGCCCCCTCCCCAGCCCTGCCCAGGGCGCCACCCCTGAGTGTGCCCACACCCCGAGGGACGGCACCTGTCACCCTGCCCAGGCCTCTGTGCCCGTCTTGCCTGGGGCGCTGGGAGCAGAGGTACCGCCAGGGGCGCGGCAGACAGGCGGGCAGGTCCTTGGGCTGTGCTCAACCCCCCAGAGGCCCTGCAGCCCTGTGCAGCTGAGTTTGGGGTCACGGGCGGCAGGGCAATGGGGGAGCAGGAGTGGGGTCTCCTAGAAGGGTGGGCCAGAAGCAGATTTCATCTGGGAACCGGAAGCCGCTTCCGCAGGGCAGCAGAGGGGCCGTGTCCTGCTCGTGATGGCGCCGCTGACTGGGTGACGAAGGGCTCGGTCGACTAAGCGCCATGGGGCAGCAAGTCCGGGAAGATTCCAGGGAAACTGCGACTCCAAACCCAGGGTGGCTGCTGGGCTCCAGGGCTCCGGGACACAGGGCCTGCCCTGGCGTCCTGCGTGGCCTGCGCCTGGACTGCTGACCAGGCTGGGAGGTGGGCGCCTTGCGGGGTGTGGGATGCAGGGACCAGGCTCCCATCCACCCAGCCCACACTCCCGGCTGGTGGAGGGCTGGACACCGCAATGCGCCTTCCCTGCTTGCCCCGAGGGGGGCATCCCAGGCCTTGACCTGGCCCAGGGGCCCTGCTGGACACCAGCTTCCCAGATGAGGCTAATCCAGGTCGAGGGGGACTTGCCAGGGTCAGGGCCCCTCCTCCCGCAGGGGTGTCGGGGTCCAGGGCAAGGCCTGCCTCGGTGTCCACCACGCTGGCCGCAGCCCGGCCACAGAGGGCGGGCGCTGTGGAGAGGCCCTGCGGGGCCCGGCCCTGCCACTTCCTGACCCTGAGGCGGGCAGCCCTCACCCCTGCCAGGCCTGTTTTCTCGCTTGGGTGCATGGGGTCAGCGGGGAGAGGACCAGCGTGCCGCGGGTGTGACCCTGGTTCCTGGGGCCTGCTGCTCGCTCGCGTGAGGAAGCCTGAACCCCTCGGGGGTCGTTGGACACCTGCCTCCTCTCAACCCCTGGGCCCCTCTCCCCGCACAGCCTGACGCTCTGCGCCGGTTGCTGACCGCCCATGGCACCCCCTTCCAGCCGGGCCTGGCCGGCCCTCCCAGCCCCTTCTGAGCGCCTCTGCGCCTCTCAAGGACGCGTCTCAGCCCGGAAGATGGACGCTGGAGGGCCGATGGGGCTCCCTTGGGTTTGCCCAAGACAAGGCCACTGGGTGCTGCTGGGCCCGCCCTGTGCACCCTCCTGGGGTGCGGCCCTCCTGGGCGGGGGGGCAGTAGGCACGCTCGTCCGTCGGGCGCAGTGTGACTCTCCCCTCTGTCTTCCAGGCTTTGGGAACCACCACGGCAGTGCCTGTCACAGGTCCTCAGGTCAGCTCCTTGCAGAGGTTGGCCGGGCAAGGAGCGGCAGTGCTACCTCAGGTGAGCCCCTCGGTGGGTCCCGGTGTCCGTCTGTCCCCCGCCTCTCAGCACTGAGGCTTGGATGGACGCCCAGTGGGCGGACGCTCCGGGAGTCCCTTCCCCTCCCTCCTCCTCTGCTGTCTTGAGGTGAGGAATTTTGAGAGCAAGTTGGTGGCGCATGATCAGAATTTTTTATTGGAATAAACCAGGCCAAACTGAGTAGGGCAGAAAGTACCAAGAGGCATCCTCAGCTGTGCCTCGGACAGTTCATCTCTGGGCTGGGTCATAGCAGGAGCGTCTGAGAAACTGGACAGGAGGCCGCCTGGGCCAGGCAGGTGGGCAGCTGCAGCCCAGGCCCCCGACCAGTGGTCCCCAACCTCCTGGGCCAGTCACCACCTCCCAGCCCCCGGCACTGAGTCTCTTCCTCGGCCGGGTCTGCTGTGGGACCTCCTCGTGGCCTCGAGGGCCAATGCCAATGGCACGAGCTTCTACGATGCCCGCTGGTCCTTAGACACACTGGGCAGGAGCCTGGCTCAAGGTGAAGGCTCCTGCCTATTCCCCCTGCAGGCTAGACAGGTGACCCCCAGCTCGAGGACAGCGAGGGGCAGCTCCTGGGACCCATGTCCTCTCAGCAGCCTTTGCCTGGTGCCCACCTTGCCGTGCCCCAAAGTGGCCCGGATCCAGAGGGGGGACAGACGCTTGAACCCAGGGTGGTTGGGATGAACCTGAAGATTTGCAGGGCCATTGGGGGTGCTGAGGAGGCCCGTGACCTGCCTGGGTCGGTGGGGCTTCCCGGAGGAGGTGTGCATGATGCAGCTCTCAGAGTAGGAGGTCTTGGCAGGCCGTGGTGGAGGCAGGCCTCCAAAAACATGCACCGTGGGAGGGGCTGCTGCAGCACAGGTGCACCGGTGGAAAGTGGAGGCGGGCTTTGGGGGCCAGAGCCTCTGTCTTCACAGCACGGGGGGCCCCGGAGGTTGGGGCAGGCAGAGAGGTCACGGGGGACGCATACACTTGTGCCTTTACACCGTTGCTTGTGGCACCACGCCTCCCTGCTGCAGCCCGCGTGGGCCAGCGGAGGCCCCCCACCCTGTCCACACCCCCCACTGGCTTCTTCACCTTTCACTTGAATTGAGCTGGGAGACCCGGGCCCAGAGCGACTCCTCCTGAATCCCTGGCCAGTCAGTGCAAGCCCAGGATGCGGGCAGCCTCCCTGCCAGCCCCCATGCCCCAGCTCGAAGGTGGGGACTCTCCACCGGGTCCTGCCAGTGCCCGCGCTGTGTCCTTCCCGAGCCCGGGCTCTGCACGGGGCCGTCCGCCCAGGGGCCTGTGTGCCCGTCTGACTGCGCGCCCGTCCCTACCCCCAGGTTAGGCCAAAGACCCTGATTCCAGACAGCCTCCCCATCACCCCGGGCCGCGACCGGCCGCCCAAGCAGCCCCCGACATTCCAGAAGGCCGCCGTGGTCAGTATCAAGAACCCCAGCCCCGCCCTCCCCACCGCCAACAACACCGTGAGCCATGTGCCGGCGCCCGGCAGCCAGCCCCAGCCCCTCGCCGAGCCCGCCGCCATCACCTCTCCTCTGAGCAGCGCTGGCGTGGCCTACGCCCTCATCTCCACCGGCCCCAGCAATGCCGCCGCCGTCACCCCCAGCAGCGCCGCCGCCTCCGTGGCCAGCGACAGCCTCAAAGTGCAGCCCCTCCTCCTCAGCGCCGACAGCAAGGTGAGTGTGCGCGGGCGTCTGGCGGCGGGACAGGGTGGCGGCCGGCGAACGGCGCTCCCCCCCGCGGGGTGGCCGAGTGAGACCCGCAGGGCCTGTGGGCGGCTGCGGAGGAGGGTCCAGCACCGTCCTCCGCCGCTGCGGGGTCTGGGCGGCCAGGACTTCCTCGGGCCCCAGCTTCCCGAACGAGGAGAGGCTCGGTTTCTTGCCCAGAATTAAAGTTCAAGCAAGATGTCTTCCTGTTCCCCTCGCCCCTCGCGGCCCTGTCTGGGGGGGTCGGGGGTGCCGCGTCCCCTCTCTGGCCTCTTCCTTTCTGTTCCCCGCTTGGGCCATCCAGGTCGCCCCTTCTTGCTCGTGTCACGTCTGTGCCGGCCCTAAGCCCGCTCCCCGCTCCCGGCCTTCCCTTGCCACGCGCTGTCGACTTACGAGGGTCTGGGCCGCCTCTCGGTGGGCCCTGGGGGTTCTCGACGCCTAGACGGACCTCGTGCACGGTCCTGGCAAGTCCTGGGCGACAGCTGTGCCGGTCCTGGCAAGTCCTGGGCGACAGCTGTGCCGTCGGCAGCCGGGTGCCTCGGGGCTGTGGCCCGGGCTCCCAGGACGTCTTCATGTTTTTCTTCCCATGACTTTCATAAAAAGGGGCTTTATTTCCCCCCACCCAGAGGATTCTGGGGTTTTAAGACTGCCATGCGGAGAATAACGAGCTTCCCCCAAGCCGGCCGCCTCACGTCTCGGTGCCCAGGCGCCTGAGCAGGTGTCACGACAGTCAGTGGCGTCCTTGGGGGCGAAGGGGGCCACGATCGGGCTGTCCCTGGTCTGGGCTGGACTCAGGCTGGCCCCTGCCGGTGTCTGCCTCCCCGCGTCAGTGAGAGAGAAGAATCTTCTCCCAGATCCTTGTCCACAACGTAAATAAAATGGCCGCGTGGATGCCGGCTCGGGGAGTGCCAGGCTGCAGAGGCCGACCTCAGACTCAGCCTCCCTCAGTGTCTCCGTTCAGCAGACAACAGCCTGAGCCGCAGAGACGGCCGACAGAGCGGGGCTGCTCTGGGGATGCCCGGCAGGGTCTGGAGCCTCCGGGTCTGCAGGGCACCCCAGGGTGGAGGGAGCAAGCCTGGCCTCAGTGCTGCCCCCTGTCCCCACGCACCCGCGGGCCCATCACAGCGGTGAAGCGGCAGGTGGTTCCAGGGGCGGGGGAGGGGGGGAGGCAGAGAAGCCGGACACCCCTGGGAAGGATCCTAGCCCCTTGCCCCCCAACCTGACATCCTCGGGCGAGCAACGTGAGCCCCTCGGCCTGTTCTCCTGCATCCAGGCTGTGCGTGAGCGAACCAGCCCCTGCCCTGGGCCTCTCATCTTCACAGCCGGCCCGGAGCTCGGTGTTGCAAAGCTTTCACTGAGGAGGGCCCTGAGGCTCAGGGACGTGAAGTGACCAGCGTGAGGCCCCACAGCTGGGGAATGGCCGTGCAGGGTTGGCCCAGGCCCTCCCCTTTCTCTTGCAGACTCTCCTCATGGTGCGAAGGGCTTTCGGGGGCCCGTGGTACAGGGGCCTGTAGACTGGGGAGCCCTGCCCACCTCCTCTGACCTCTGATCCCGACATTGGAGACCCTAGCACCTGCCCTGGGCTCCGGGAGCCCTGGCCGCTCCCCTCCCTTGGTGCCCCCCAACCCTCACTCCTCCCCCGTGTCTTCCAGGTCATCATCATCCAGCCTCAAGTGCAGACGCAGCCTGAGAGCCCGGCCGGGTCGCGGCCACCCACGGAGGAGCCATCTCAGGGAGCGCAGGCCACCAAGAAGAAGAAGGAGGACCGGCCCCAGAGCCAGGAGGACCCTGAGGTAAGGTGGCCAGAGCCTGCCAGGCCGGCCGTGGTTGGCGGGGCGGGCAGCGGGAGGCCTGGCTGCGTAGGGGTTCGGGCTGGCGGGCAGGCTCACTTGGGATTGAGACAAACCCCCGGTGCAGGGGTGCAGGAGTGCTCCTAGGCAGGACTCGGCCCGGGTCTCGGTCCCTCCGCCTCTGGGACCTGCACGCTGAGCGGCAGTGGGCCGTGTTAGCGTGGTTCCGGGAGCGGATGCCGGTGTCGCGTCTCAGGGCTGCCAGCTCTCCCTGTGAGAGGCAGTCGCGTGCCCTCATCCGGGAGATCCTCCCTGGCAGTGTGGCGGTGGGGCCGCCCTGCGTCGGTGTCTCCCGGCTCTGGACAGGGCCCTCGTGCCCACCCCCAGGCCTGCGCCTGCCCCTCTGACCCTGCCTTCTACCCTGGGACTCACGTCCAGGGGACAGTGGTGCTCCTGGGCAGCTGCTTGGCCTCCTCTTCTCTCTGCCCTGGCCAATCACGTGCACCCAAGGCGGGGCCAGAGCAGGACTCCAGTGCTTGGAAATCAGCTCTCGCCAGAGGCTGGTGGGGGAGATGCAGATGTCTCCTGAAGGTGGCCGTAGAACTTACCAGAAATTGCACATGGCCCACCACTCCCAACCCCACCTGAAGGAGGAGGGCTGGATGGGCTCTTCCACACCTTCCTGACGCATGGCTAAACGTGCAGCCACCTGCCCTGCAGGGTGTAAGAGGGAGCCCCTAATTCAAAGCCATCCTTCCCTGAACTCTTGGTGACAGCCCTTCAGTTGCTGCTGGCACCCTCAGCCGTCCTGGCCAAAGCCAGCCCTTTTCTCTCCTTCATTCATCCTACAAGAGCCACTTGGCACATTGCCTCCTCCAGGCAGCCTTCCTTGACCACCCCACCCAACAGGCATAAGAGATCCCTCAGGACTCCTACAGCTCCTGTGGCTCTTTAATCAACCTGCTGTCATCACGCCACGCTGGTCATTCCTCCATTCATTTATCGGTCAAGTAAGTCTTAGGATTTGCTGCTTCCCTGGCTCTGTGCTGGGGTGGGGATGCCGATGGGGCAGGTGTGGCCATGGCCTTATGTAAACTCACTCCCACTGACAGACACAGGCGTGGCCTGAATTTGAACTTGGTTTAATTAAAACATGTCAGGTGTCATCAGAATTGCAACGTCAGAGATGCAGGGAGAGGGAGAGGTGTGTCCTCCTGGAAGGCCCAGAGATCAGTAGGGCCTGGAGGGGCAGGTGGAATTCTGACAGAGGAACGGATGGGAGGCAGGAGGATGGCGCGGGTGGCGGCGGGTGCTGTCCGGAGGACTTGGCCCACCCAGGGGGGTCAGCAGGTCTCTTTGGACTGCAGGGGGCATGAGCCTTGGAGAATTTCTGGAGGGCCCGCCGGGTGGGACCTCATTCCTTAGGGAGGGGCGCCGTGGGCTCTCTGAGCAGGAAGGACGCTGGTGTCCTTGGCCGTGTCTGAGAAGCTGGGAGTTCAGAGTCTGCCAGTGGCTGAGGCTGAGCTGGAACCAAGTCTCCCCTGGGGCCCCAGGCTGATTCGACCACAAGGTGCTTGGTTCAGTTCTGCACCGGTGGGTGCGCACCTACTGTGAGCGCACCTACTGTGTGCATGGTGGGACCCGGCTGCTGGCAGCTCAAGGCGCCCAAGTCACCTGTCTGGCCCCCTATGGGGTTTTGCTGCATCCTAACACTCGGGAAGGTTTTCTGGGTGGATTCTCTTTGTTCTCTCAAAGTATATCTTAGTCGATTATTGTGCATTTATACAATTAGTATAATTACAGCTAACCACATAATTAGCATAAATACGCATAATGACTTAAATAGAACTTGCAATTACAGCGCGTCCTGGTGTAAAAATCCTTACGAAAGTTTCTTTGTGGAGCGGGCTGGGAGGGCGTGTGTGCAGACGGGACTTTGGGGCTGGCCTGTGAACTTGTTCGTGAGGAGCCCAAGCTCAGAGCCCCTCACGCCGGAGGGCAGCCGCCTCAGGACCCTCACCAGAGGACCCGGCCAGAGCCCGGGGTGACCGGGTGGCCTGAACGCTGTGTAGATGTGTCCCTAGGTGCAGCTGCGGGGGGGCCCCTGGGCGTGACTGCCTGGGGAGGCCAGGGCACGGCCCAGCACCTCGAGCCCCCTCTGCACGGCCCACCCCCTGCAGTCGGGGCCTCAGCCTGTGGGGGTTGGCCTGCTGTGGCCTGGTGCTGAAACAGCATGGGAGGTATAGCAAAAGGGGCGTGGGTCTTTCTGCACCCCAAAATGGCACGTGGGCATAGTAGGAAGGATTTCAGCAGCTCTGGGGCCCCCAGATCACAGGCAAGGAATATCCAGTCACGATGGCCGCCTGGAAGGGCTTTTGTCGTCTGGTAGTGCCCACTGCGGGTTGGATTCAGCCCTTGCGGGGAGCGACCTGTGCTGGAGTCTGTTGTTAACCCCCTGTACAGAGGGGAAACAGGCCCAGAAGTTGTCCATCGGAGCTGGGGGCCACATCTGGGTACTCTGGCCCCAGCACCTTTCATCTTCAGCCCGGTGCCACATGGCTCCTCCGCCTTGGTCACCCGAGGGGCATGCAGGCCTGGGGACAGGGGACAGGCACCCGACCGCTCGGTCCGCTCCTCCCTGTCCCAAGGCCCTGCCTTTTTAGGGCAGAGCTGTCACCTTCCTTGCACCGTCCATACCCCTGGCCTCAGGCAACACCTCACCAAGCCAGTCATCCTCAGCCGCGTGTGCTCGCCGAGGGCTGGCCAGATGGGGTCCCAGACGCACCTCTGTTTCCTTCCTCAGAAAATCGCCTTCATGGTTGCGCTAGGCCTGGTGACAACAGAACACCTGGAAGGTAAGGGTCTGGGGGTGGCGGGCTTAGGGCACGGGTGGGTGTGGGCAGCACTTGGCCCTCCGCTGCAGGGGGAAGGAAGGGGGTGTTGCATTCCCGTCAGAGGGCAGCACCCACAAGGGAGCCCCGGGCTGCCCAGGGCCGTCCCTCCCGGCTCCATGTCCACAAAATCCCGCCGTCACTTTCTTAATTCGGTGGAGGGTCCTGGGGGGGTCCCCGCCCCCAAATGGAGGCAGGACCATGACGTGGTCAGAGGGGCCGCTGGCCCTGGTGCCGGCCCCTTCCACGCACCACTCAGCTCTGGGCAAGTCACTCGGCTTCGGGCCTCGGTTTCCCCGTCTGTAAACTGGGGTGATGCTGGTCCTCCTCCTGGGTGCCCGGGACAGTGGGGTGGTCAGCACCTGGTTCGATCCCTCTCCCCACGGAGGCCCTGGCCATGGATACCTGATCCACGCGCAGAGCCGTGCGCCTGTGTCTGGGGGTCACCGTGCGTGGTGGCGCCGACGCCCTGGGAAGCGGGGCGCGCTGTCTGGTCGTGCCCTGGGGAAGCTGAGGCCAGAGAAGCTGATTGACTTGCCCGAGGTCCCGAGCCCGTCAGTATTCGCCCGGGGCTGCATGGCCGGCTCAAACCCGGTCTCCCCGGGGCCCTGAGCCTCACCCCGCCACTCAGCCCAGGTGGCGCTGGACCCGTGGGCAGCCCTTGTCCCTCGGGAGATGAACCAGGCTGGGCAGTGGCACGCAGGGGACCCGGTGGTCCCTGCCACCCTCCCATGGTGCCCCTGGAAGCCCTGGCCTGGCCTGCCGCTCTGGGGTGTGGGCGCCAGGCCAACACGAAGGCCGTGGCCAGAGGGACGGGCGCCAGGACCGGCGGAGGGCGGAGCTGCCGGGCTGGAGGGGTCATGCCGCTCCCGGGCTGGGCTCCAGTGACGGCTGTGTCTGCTGTTCTAGAAATCCAGAGCAAGCGCCAGGAGCGCAAGAGAAGAAGCACAGCCAACCCTGCCTACAGTGGCCCCCTGGAGACAGAGGTGAGGGCCCGCAGCCGCCCCCGGGCCAGGCCAGGCACTGGGAGGAGGCGAGGACAGCCCGCGGCTGGACTCAGGCTGTGCCCGCCTTCCGGGTTCTTCTCCCTGAGTCACTGGGCACCTTGCCGGCCACAGGCGGTGGGGAGCAGCACCCCAGTATCGGTCCCTAGAGTGGAGCTATCTCCTTAGGGCCAGGACACCGAAGCTGGGGCAGAGCTGAGCCTGAGGCCAGTGCCCGCGCTTCCTAGAGTGGAGACCGGCCAGGCACTGCTGGCTGGGGTGGGTCATTGTCAGTCTCACCTCCCAGAGGGTGGCCCGGGGCCCCCCCCACCCCGAGAGAGGCTTGGGGCCAGTAGTCACTCAGCCAGGGGGCTCCCGCCCCTCCAGAGCCACCTCCGCACCAGGGCTGAGCTGGTGCCGCCCTTCTGGCATGTGCCGGAAACCTCAGTCTACATCTGCTGTTTTGGGTGCCAAGGGCCACGCTGTTGGTGGCTGCAATCCTTGGGCACATGCCAAGAATGGGGTGTGAGGAGCCTGCTGGAGCCCCCCACTTCCTGCTGGAACCAGGGGTGCTGAGAAGGTGCTTTAGGGGAGCCCCGACTGGGATTGCGAGTGGCCTACCTTAGGGAGCCTGCCCGCCGTGGGGCCCAGCCCCAGGCCCTCCCCAGCCCTGCCCTCTCTGCCCTGTTTCTGCCCCTGCTGGGGAGTGTCTTGGGGGGAGCCCATTTGTGGGGGCCCTGCCCGGGGCAGTATGGCCTGGAGGGCTCACCTGGTGCCCTTGTCTTGTGCCCTGCAGAGGAAGCGGCTGGCCTCCAACTATCTCAACACCCCACTGTTCCTCACAGCAAGAGGTGAGCCCCGCGGGTCTGGCCCTCTGCGGGCCACGGGGGCTTCGGGGGCCGGCCTGGCCATGGGAGCTCTCCTCCAGGGGCCGAGGGTCTGAGGGCCTGGCCTGCCCGCTGTGACCTGGGATGGGGCTGGGGAGACAAGCGGGTGGGGTCACACACAGCCCTGAGCCCAGGCCGCCAGGCGCCCCTCTCTCCTACCTGGGGTATGATCCTGAGCACAGATCCAGGTCACCTGGTACCAAAGGCCATTGTGGGGGACATCCTAGGGCTGACCCCTGTGAGGGTGAGGATGGTGTGTGGGAGTGGGGGCATCTCCCACCACCCCTCTCCTCCCCCTACCATCTGCAGCCAGAGCTGCCCAGATGGGTCCTGGCCATGACCAGGGCAGAGCCCTTACTCCCAGCATGCCCCGGGGGAGAACATGGTCTTGGCCTTGGGCCTCCTCTGATGCTCTGGGTGAGAACCTGTCTCTGCTGGGCCTCGTGGACCCCAGCCCTGACTGGTGCTCCTCCAGTGCCCACTAATGCTTCTCCGCCCTTCTTCCCTGTGCTAGCCAATGAGGACGCCTGCTGGAAGGTATGTGCCCCTTGTCTTCACCCCGGGGGCCTGGGGCATGCTTTCCTTGGGCCAGATAGGATCATTCCTGGAAGGAGGAGGGCCCAGTCCTGCTGCTGGGAGCGGAGCCGAGGGCTTCCAGTGCCCATGCTCAGTCCACTTCCCAGCCTGCCTGGCGAGTCAGGCATGGTCACTGGGCTCCACTCACAGGCTCAAGCAGGAGCCCGCTTCCTAGTCCTGAGGCTGCAGGGGCTGGAGGCCACGGAGGCTTGAGGGGGAGCAGTGCTGCTGGGCCTCGGGCTCTGCCCGGCTCTGCCCGCCTGGCTGTGTGGCCCTGGGTGCAGCTGGTTTTGTCTGGTTCTCAGTACCCATCTCAGGAGGAGCTGGACTTGATAATCCCCAGGGGCTCCCACACACTCACCCATATTTCCGAGATCCCCTCGCATACCCCCACTTCCCAGGACGTGAACTAGTGGTTTCCTCATTTGCCAGCACAGCCTCAGAATTGACCCAGGGTTTCCTGTCACTGTGTGAGGTCAAATTCTAAAAGAACTTCCAGCCCTAAGAACTTCCAGCCCCAGGTGATGGGGTGTACCTGTGGGCGTGGCCTGCCAGGTGTGGGTTGCAGCATAGCCCAGCAGTGCTGCCTTTGGCCTGTCAGTGTCTGTCCATGGCCAGCTGTACCTGGTCAGCACGGGCCTGGGGGTGCCCGGAGCCCTGTCCCTCTCCTGCGGAGCCCACCTTCCTCGAGCCTCCAGGCAGGGGCCCTGCTCCCGGCTCTTGGCCTGTCCCCTCAGCCCCCTCTGCAGCTCATCCCTCACTCCCACGATGGCTGGAAACTGGGACGCAAGAGCTGGGCACAAGAAGTCAGGGTGGCAGCTGCCTGGGCCCCCAACTCCTGGCTGGCTAACCTTGTCCCCCTCTTTCAGGACGAGATCACCCACGATGAGCAGTGCACTGCCTGCAAGCGGGGGGCCGACCTGCAGCCCTGTGGCACCTGCCCCGGGGCCTATCACCTCAGCTGCCTGGACCCGCCCCTCAAGACAGCACCCAAGGGCGTGTGGGTGTGCCCCAAGTGCCAGCAGAAGGTATGGGAGGCTGTGGGACCGACCCCACCTCTCCCTCCAGCCCCCTGCCTCTCCAGTCTCTGCACCACAGGACCCTCACCTTGAGCAACATCTGAGGCTGCTCAAGCTACCCATGATTTCTGGGGGTTCCCCACCGCTGGCTGAGAAGAGCTGCGGGACTGGGTGTAGAACAGACTCCCTGGATCCTGGTGCAATTGACAGAGGGGCCAGCAGCGACCATTGGCAGTGTCCAGCCCCAAGCCCTGCAGGGTTTTAGCAGCCAGCACGCCTGGCCTCCACCCCCTGCCTGGAGCGCCCCTTGTGGCCACCTTAACACTGCCCACACGGCAGAGGGGAGGGCCCCCCAGCGGTCTCGCTCAGTGACTCCCCTTGGCTCCGGATCCTCCCAGGCAAAACCAGGGGAGCCACACAAACCGCAAGAACGTGCTCCTTACGGTTCTGACCCTTGGGTCGTGAGAACCTTGCCAATGAGCAAATGCTCATGCTCCCTGCTGGTGGGGCCCAGAGGGCCTGCGGTGGGGCTGCTGGCATTCACATGCTATCGGGCGTGGGTGACGAAACCTGGGCAGAAGCCAGGCCCCAGCGGCCGGCTGTAGAGGCCAGTGACGGGAAGACGGGAAAAAGCCTGAGCCACTCTATTTTCCCTACATGCGAGTTCCCGTCACCCCAGGTTTTGGGGGGGCTGGGGAGAGTGGGTGTTGCTGTGGGGCTGTCACCCCCATGGAGCCCACTGGCCCCTGCATGGCGACTCTCAGGGCACTCAGCTCTTTGAGGGGTGCAGAGAAGGCTCAGGATTTTGTTCCCCACTTCAGCATGCTGGTGGGGTCTCTTTAGGTCCCCTGGTTGGCCTGGGGCTGCTCTCGGGACCCGAGGACTTGGGAAGGAGGGACATGAGCCTCCCCGATCATTCATTCAGAGCTATGTGTGCCGCTCCCAGCCGGCCCTGCCCGCGCCCTGCAGAGGGAAGGTTCTAGCCCTCGTGGGTGTTGCTGGCAGCAGCCTTTGTGAGCCAGACCACAGGCAGCCGCCCCACCCTGGGGTTACAGCCAGGAACTTGCAGCTCCAAGGGGCCACGCTTCTCGGGTCGCATGGCTGGGCCTGCTTGCTCACCTTCCCCCCTGCCCTCAGGCCTTAAAGAAAGACGAAGGCGTGCCCTGGACGGGGATGCTGGCCATCGTCCACTCCTACGTCACCCACAAAACAGGTAAGACGCCTCCGGGGAGTGGGGTGTCCTGCTCCTTCTCGCCAGCTCTTCCCTAGAGTGCTGAAAGGGGGGCCCTGGGGCTGGTCCTGGTGCGGGGGTTCCTCTGGGGGCGCATTCCCAGCCCCCGTTCTTCAGCCAGGCCACAGGGCGCGCCGGCAGCCTGCAGGCAGAGCCCGTCGCTGCCTCCACTCTCCCGGGCTCCGGCCGCTCACCCGCCTCGCCGGGCCCCGCTCTCTCTCCAGTCAAGGAAGAGGAGAAGCAGAAGCTGCTGCAGCGGGGCGGCGAGCTGCAGAGCGAGCACCAGCAGCTGGAGGAGCGGGACCGGCGCCTGGCCTCGGCCGTGAAGGTGCGCACGGGGGCGGGGGCGCTCCCACACCCCAGCTGGAGCCCCAGAGCTCAGCGTGGTCACTGAGGCGCCAGGAAGACGGATTGACCGGCATCACTCAGCAAGGCAGTGGGGGGCGGCAGCGCTGGGGCTCGGGCGGTGACCATGCGTTGAGCACCTGGCATCTGCTTCTCCCCAGTTGTGCGATCCGGCAAGGCCCCTGCTGTCTCTGAGCCTGTCTGCTGTCATGACACGTCGCCCTGTCCCCCCATAGGCCGGTGACAAGATGGTGGCGATTGGGGTGGTGATGATGATGATGATGATGATGATGATGACGATGGTGATGGTGGTGATGATGATGATGATGGTGATGAGATTGTGATGGTGATGGTGGTAATGATGATGATGGTGGTGGTGATGATGGTGGTGATGATGATGGTGGTAGTGATGAGATTGTGATGATGATGATGGTGGTGGTGATGAGATGGTGATGGTGGTGGTGATCATGATGATGGTGGTGGTGATGATGATGGTGGTGGTGGTGGTGGTGATGATGATGATGGTGGTGATGAGATGGTGATGGTGGTGGTGATGGTGGTGGTGATGGTGATGATGATGGTGGTGGTGATGGTGATGATGATGGTGGTGGTGGTGATGATGATGATGATGGTGGTGATGAGATGGTGATGGTGGTGGTGATGATGATGGTGGTGGTGATGATGGTGATGATGATGATGGTGGTGGTGATGATGGTGGTGATGATGATGGTGGTGGTGATGGTGATGATGATGATGATGGTGGTGATGAGATGGTGATGGTGGTGGTGGTGATGATGATGATGGTGGTGATGATGATGGTGGTGGTGATGGTGATGATGATGGTGGTGGTGATGGGGGCGCTGTGTGTGATGACGGAGGTGGTGTGGGTGCAGATGGCGGTGGTGATACTGTGACGCTGCCGGCGGTGGTGCTGGTGGAGGAGGTGCGGGCGTGGGTGGCAGGCGTGGTGGTGACATGGTGATGGCGATGATGGTAATGGCAGTGCCAGGCCCAGGCGAAACTCATTCAGTGCAGTACCTCCTTTGATCCTCTGACTAGCCCCACGGAAAGACTAATTATTCTTGTATGAGAGCTTTGGACCAGTGTCAGGGGGTTGGGTTATTTATCTGCGCCCCAGACCAGCTCTGACTTGGGGTGTCAGTCCCCCCGCCTCTACCGCAGCGCCGCGACACAGACAGAAAGGGCTCGAAGAGGCTGAGAGTACAGCAGGCAGGAAGAAAGCGGCAAACAGGCTGCAGGTCTCCCGGCCCCTGGCCTGGAGCTCGCGCTGGCTCTGCACGTCCTCCAGCGGGAGGGTCACTGTGGCCTGCTGGGGGCCCCACGAGCGGGAGTGGGGAGGTTCATGCTCTTGCACAAGCTGCTGTTGCTGGCGCTGCATTCGAAAGCGGAATTCTGTAGGTCTGGCTGCCATTTCGTTCCATTTTTCACTGCTGCCTGGTTTTTGTGAGGCCCTCTGCCCGATTTCTTCCAGGCTCTGCCGCAGAGGGGAGGCGCTCCGGGAGGGAGGACCCAGGGTGGCTGCACCGGGATCTGAGACGCTTCTCTCTGGCCCTTTTCCCCTGACAGAAATGCCTGGAGCTTAAGACAAGCCTGCTGGCCCGGCAGCGGGGTGCCCAGTCCTCCTTGGACCGCCTGCGGGCCCTCCTGAGACTGATACGGGGTGAGCAGAGGCTGCAGGTCACCATGGCGACCGCCAGCCCTGGCCCCCTGCTGGCCGGGCCCTGGACCAAGTCCCCCATGGCAGCCATGCACGCTCACGCCGCCCTCCAGCACCCCCAGGGCCACAACTGACCCCGGACCCATCTCGCATCCTCAGAGAGCCCCTGGGAACCTGCTCGAGACCTGGGGGTCTGTCAGCCTTAATTCATAAGCACTATGAATTCAGACAAGAATGAAACCAGAGAGACAGATGAAGAAGTGTTGGGGGGAGCGGGAAGCCCAGTGGGGGCCGCTGGGGATGGAGGCCTGTCTCTCAACTGCAGACGGGTGCCCATAGCCAGGCGGGTCAGGCCCTGGTGGTGGTGAGCGCCCATGCCCTTGGCTCCCGGGCACAGCTGTCTCCATGCCCGGGTGCTCCCTGCATCCCCAGGAGACGGGGACAGAGGCCCTGGAGGAGCAGAAAGATGCCCCAGCCATGGCCAGTCAGAGCCAAGGCCTCCCCGCTGCCCCCAGAAGGGGCTGCCGGCCAGCAGAAACATAGCTGAGTAGTAGAGGTAGTTGGGGCGCCGTGTGGGAAGCGGATCTAGCTCCGGGCCCTTCCTCCTGGTGCTCCTGCCTGGAGCCCGGGCCTCGGGGCCCACGCCCGTTTGTCAGTATTATTAGCATTCAGAGCTGCAGCGTTGAACCGGAAAGCACTGCTGAGCGCACTCCTGGGGTGCTGCGGCATCTGCCCGCCAGCCACTCACCTGCTGGGCTGCTCCCGGCCCCTCTGCCTCCCCCCCACCTCAGGCTCCTTTGCTGTCCACATCTGGCTCTCACGGAGTTTCGGGCAGGGTGGAGCTGCCGCTGGCGGGAGGCATCGAGGGTCCCATTGGGCTGAATCCTCAACCAAACCGCCGAAGCCTTCCCTCTTCTGCTTTCGGAGAGCCAAGAGTATTCCGTCCCTCTTCTCTTGCCAGTACAACACTATGCCAAAAAATAACTTTACATTTTGTATGGTGTTTTTATTGTAAGATATTTAATGTGAAGGGGACACCTGCCGACTTCTTTTTCTGCTTAGGGTGGTCTCTGCCGCAAGGGACGGTGGGAAACCTCCCCGGGGAGGGGGGCTGCCAAACTAGAGGGATGGGGGGGGGTTAGAACTGGGGCTCGGGTGGGCGGGGCCAGGCGGAGCCTCTGGAGGCTGGGGGGGGCCTCTCCCCGCCGCCTTCTGAGCTGGTGAGGGCGGAGGCCATGCCCACCTTCCCGAAGCGCCGCTGCCCGCCGGTGGCTGCTCGTCACACCGCCAGCGTCTCCAGTCCCAGGGGACTTAGCACAACAGGACGAGCATCCGGGAGCCACCGGGCTCCCATCCCCAGCATATCACACGGTGCCGAACTGCATCGAACACGTGTGCGTGTGTGCACGCACCCCAGCCACTTGCACGCACGCACGCACACCCGCACACAGACAGGTGCAAAGCCAGGAGGCCAGCCGGGGCCAGACCCGCGGCCCCTCCTGTCCCTTTCACGACCCCGGGAGAAACTGTGCTGTACGATACAGATCTATTTTAATACACTCAACACTGGGTTGAACAAGATTTTTATATTCTTTTATTGAACAAAGTGAACTGTAAGACACGTCTTGTATGTTGGTTACCGCAGATGCCACTCGCGCGCCACGCGTGACTTGCCATGTAAATGTCTTCAGGTCCCTTTTTCGTTGGTTTGTTTTTCTCCTTGGATGGATTGAAGTAAAGTTTTGAGAAACGTGACGGGAGGAGTGGACGCGTGGGCCCAGGAGGGGTAGCTGCCGATGTGTCTTGAGACTTAGTTTTTCGGACCAGGACCATCCAGTGGGTAGTGAGGCTAGAAAAGTGTTTGTCTTAACTATGCCCATGTAGTTTTCCTTCTGTACGACGCATTAAACTTGATTGATGATTTCAGAGCCCCGTGGTTTTGGTTTTCTTGCCTTCGGCAGAGAGGCCCCGGGGGCGTGTGCGGTGGGGGTGGGAATCAGAGGGGCTGAAGATCTCCCCCAACGCAAGGGCCGGCAGGCCCCACCAAGCCGCACCTCCCCGGAGGTGCAGGTGCGCCTGTGAGCGCCAGGGTGGATGGTCCTAAGTAACAGGACCTGCCTGGCGCTGTGCACAACCTGTGGGCAGTCTCTGCACGCCCTCCTCCCGCTCCTTCCCCGCCTCTTCCAAGCACCCCCGCTTCCCGTGCAGCCTGGCAGCCAAGGCCCAGAAACGCCAGGGGCCGAGTCCACGGCCTTTCCAGGGAGCAGCCAAACCGAAGCCAGACACCCCCAGTCCTCAGTCCGGGTGTGGCATGCAGGCTGCTGGTCGGCTCAGTCTGGGAGGACCCCACCCTTGGTGGCCAGCTGTGACCTGTGGCTGGAGTCACATGCCAAGCCACCACCTGCTGGATCCCTGGGGTGGGAATGTGGGGCTGCCCCCGCCGTGCTCTCCCCCCTCCCACCGGTGTGGTCACAGGGTTTGGGGAGGGAGCCTGGCCCCTCCCCAGGCTGCATGGTCATCCACTGCCCCCCGGGTGCTGGCCCCGGCCTCCACCCCAGGGTGCCCTGAAGGGCTCTGGGGCTCACCAGGAGGGCCCCTGCCCACCTCCATCTGTGCCCAGTGTGTCTGGTGTGGCTCCCCACCTCTGGGTCCTTGCCAGGTAGGGCCCCCTCTGCCGCCTCGCTCCCTCAGAGGTACCCACCTCAAGGTCAGCGTGGCTTCCCCATGGTCAGCCCTAGTGGGTGCTGCCTGGTGACCACGGGGCACACTGGCCAAGCCCTCCGTGGAGGAGGCTCCGGGGCCCCAGTGGCTGGTGTTTCTCCTGCTCTCCCGAACTCAGCTTCTCTCGTGGACCGAGTCACCGGATGCCAGACTGGTGGGGGGCCGGGGCAGGTCGGGGAGCTGGGGCAGGTCGGGGGGCTGGAGCAGGTGGGGGGCCGGGGCAGGAGATCCAGTCTGCGCTGACCACCATCTCTCTGCTGGTGGCCCCCTGCCTTCTCCAGCCTGGACCTCTGCCAGCTGTGCCTCCAGCCCTGCAGGTGCCAGGGGACACAGGGGATGTGGCCGGTGCTGCCCAGCCCTGACTGCCCTGAGCAGCGCCCGGACACGAAGGCGTCTGAATCTCAGCCTTGGGGGGGACCCCCTCCTAATTGTTCCTCCAGAGCCGTTGCATTTCGTTGTAGCAGCAGTCACTTCAAATTATTTTCTCACTCCAGTGTGATTTCTTCTTTGACACATAGACACAAAAATAGGCTTCTTTCTACTTTCTAAATTTCCGTATATTCACATATTTTTATTCACATTTTATTTATTTAGCCTATGTGTATTTTACATATTGAGGCTTCATATATTTCAAAGGTTCATATTAAAATATATTTTTAAATATATGTATTTGATATGTTAAAAAATTTTTCATATAATTGTTAATTTTCATATAAACAATTTTTAGTATTTTTTCCTAGATATCATTGATTTTCATTATTCATTTGACTCCATGGTCGTCTTCAGATCATTTCAGTTCTTTCAGATTTATTGGAACTTGTTTTTAGATCCAGGGTTTCTTTTTTTCTGTTACGGATAATGTATTTTGCGCTCCTAAAATTTCCTTTTTCACAGGTTTTAAAATTTTTTACTGAGATTTTCATTTACTGTAAGCTTATTTTCCTCTTCTACCCGAGGACACATGTAATAGCTGCTTTAACATCTCTGACTGCCATTTCCAGCGTCGGTGTCATAAGGTGGGTTTCTGTTGTGTTAGAGTGGGCTGAAGGACCCTGGTTCTTTAGATAACAAAGACTTTGAATTGTGGCTGTTCTGTGGTGGCCACCTTGGGTTCTCTCACACTCCTCTGAAGAGGGCTGGGTTTCGTTTGCTTGCGTTAGCAGGCATTTAACTGGGGTGGATGCAAGTTTCAAATTCTGTGGCCTGGCAGCTCCACCCTCAGTTCAGGGCTTTCGTCGTTAGCTGACATCCGTCCCGCACGCTGGCTCAGGAGCAGGCAGGCTGGAAGCACATTCCCTGACGGGACTTCCCCACTCGCTTTCAAATGGCTGTGGTTGTCCCCGAGTCTGTCCTCTGCCCTTTAAGTCCAAAGACGAATTTTCTCTTGACGGTGCAGTCACCCTCACAGCCTCGGCCCGGCGCAGCCTGGAAACCACCCGGGGAGTGTCGTCCATGCCCCCCACGGATCCGGTGGAACATGAATCCGGGCACGTGTGGACCCTCCCGAGTCTGTCCTTGTCCGTTTCCACATCTTTGTTGAATTTTTTGTTAATTTTTGTTTGGTGTTTTTCTCGAGTTCTTGGAAGTGTCCATGGAAAAGTAACGTCCTGTGGTGGGGCGGAGGTTTATTTTTTACGTTGAAGTCCTTGGAGGAGTAGGCAGGATCCGTTTATTCCTCTCCTCCATACGGATCTGGCACGTCCCTCTCCTCTCGACTTAAATTTTTTTCTCTGTATATTGTTCAAAAAGCATCTTATTATTCAAGGAATGAACTATATACAGACTTTCAAACCTTACACAAACGATAGCAGGTTGCGTTTCTCATTCTGCACCTGTTTTCCTCTCAATGTTTGGAGACCTGTCCATGCAGAAGGGAACAGACCCGGCGAGGTCATTGGAACGGCAGGCGCTGGTCAGTCACAGACGTAACTACAGTTTATCTGTCGTTTCTTCTGTTGATGGACAGTTGAGTCGAAGCTAATTATTTGCTCTGACAATGCTCCAGGATGCTCTTGGACCTACCTTTTTGGTTTTTTACCTAGACACACAATTGCTGGATCAGCTTTAACTTTACCAGCTTGCTAAATTGCTCTCTAAAAGGATGGCACCAATTTACATCTCTGCCGGCAGCCTGCGAGCGTGCCCGTGCCTCAAAATATTAACAATGGTTACCTACGGGGGGTGAAATTTCAAGTGATTTTCTTTCCTTTTTTTAACGCTTCCTGCCATTGAATTTTGTTTCCCTGAGCAGTTATTGTTCTTAGCACAAAACAAACCAATAGCAGACGCTGCTCTTCCGCTTACGGGCCCATCAGCTCAGGGAGGAAGCCACCCTCGCATGTCTCAGAAAATGGGGGTGGGGGTGCCCACACCTGTCTCCTGTCTCCCATCCCCTTCCCTGCACCCGCCTGTGTCCCCTGCTCACTGTTCCCACCTACTTTGTGCATTTATTTCCTTATTTTCTCCCCAGCCTTCCTGTAAGCCACTCTGAGAGCGGAGCGCAAAGCTGCTTGTCTCACTGTGAGGCCAGCACGGTGTGGCGGGGCCGCTTCCCGGGGTGATGCTGCTTTCTCTGGCCACAAAGGACAGAGCTCCAAGGATTCAGCCAGGTCCCACCAAAGCTCTGGGAAAAACCCCCACGCTGAGCCTCTACTCTGAGCCCTGCTGGCTAAACGACTTCCCCAGCCCGCACAGCGGGACCCCAGCCGGGGCCAGAGTTGGGTGCCCAGGGCCTGCTCCCCAGAGAGCCCGGCCTGCTGTCTGTGGCACACTGACCCCTGGCTCTGCTCCGGGTCTGCACGTACTGGACAGGACTGCACACGCGCTGCGGGCGTCAGCCACACGTGCCGGCGGCCTGCCTCGTCTCCGAAGCCCCCCCAGACTGCTGTCGTTCCTACAGAAGCGAATGTTGGACAGTTTGCTCCCCCGTGCTGTCAACAGACACACCCGGAGTCCTCACTTCTGCATAATTTTCATTGTTTCAGGTTGAAATATGCCCCGAGCGCCCCCACACCCTGGGCCTGGGCGCTTCCCTCTGCTGCGCAGTGGCGGAGCAGCACTTGGATCAAGGGGGGTGTGGCGGGGCCGGCCCTGCTGCGTGGGCCCCACCGTTGGCCCCGAGAGAGAAGCTGCTGTCACAGGAGCCCGGGAGCGCGCGGGGGCCCCACTTAGTCAGGGAACCGGGAGGTGCAGCGCCAGCCGCGAGCCTGGTGAGCAGCTCCGCGTAACTCACGCGACTTGATTCGCTGTCACGCGGGTTCTGGGGCGCACAGCGGTGCGCCCTTAAGGGAGCTGTCATTTTTATTGCAGGCTTTTCCCCCAGGCACTAGAACTCCGAAGCCGCTTTAGGCTTGGGCTAAATTGTGTGTGCGCCAGGAGCTCCCGAGGCGGGGCCACCCACGCAGCCTGCCCAGAGGCTGCACACTGAGCCCCTCGGGGGTCCGCTCGGGCCTGGTTGGCTCTGGTGGGTCAGAGCCCGAGGGCTGTGGTTTTGAAAAGGAATGGAAGAAAGGAAAAGGGTTCGTAGCAGAAAAGAAACGAAATGAAAGGACGCGGCTGGCCCGGTGCCTGGGCAGGGGCTCCTCCCGGCCAGTGGACAGCGGGAAGGAAGGAGGACACGGGGGCGCGGGGGCGCAGGACAGCACGAGCTCAGCGGCACGGCGGCCAGAGACGGGGCCGGAGAACAGCGAGGGAGAAGGGAGGATGTGAAGAGAACAACCCAGAAGGCCCCGCTCAGAAGGGCCGGGGCGGGCCCGGCGTCCTGAAAGTATTGGGGCTCGCAGAGCTGGGTGGGGGCTGGAGCCTCTTAGGGTCCCAGGGCCGGCAGCTGCCGGCTCACCAGCTCTGCTGGAGCGGCTTCCAGTGCGGAGGTGTGCCCTTGGGCCCCGGGTGGGGGCGAGTGGTTGCCGCTGGGGAGCGACGTGTGTGAGTGTGTGTGTGTGTGTGTGTGTGTGTGTGTGTGTGGCAGATGGAAGATGGAGGGAAGGGGGAGGAGTGTGGGTGCACAGGATGGGGCCCAGAGGGAAATAATCAAGTAAATGGGGTCACAAGGGTGGGGCCCTGACCCCGCAGGACCCATGTCTTTGTAAGAGAAGCTCCCCACCCACCTGCCACGTGAGCACCCAGCAAGAAGGGGGCCATCTGCAAAAGTTGTCACCCCAATGCAACCATGCGGGTACCCCAAATTCAGACTGCAACCTCCAGAGCTGTGAGAGCATCAGTGTCTGTGCTCTCCACCCCACCCCACCCCCCGTGGTATTGCTGTGGCTGCCGAACTCAGTGGACACACCTGGGCCCACCCCCATTGCTGCCGGGTCTGGACCGGCTTCGCCCAGCCCCAGGTGGGCCACGGCCTCAGGTCTGAGCCCCCACAGCGCACATTCCGCCCACAGGGACGGCCTGGGGAGGCACATCACTGAGCCCAGCCCCAAGGCTGAACCTGGGTGCTTTTTGCTGGAAACCTGGAGCCCTTCACTGTATTTGCTTTTGTTTGTTTTTGTTTTTTTTAAAGATTTATTTATTTATGCACACAAGAGCTGGGGTACAGTCCAGAGATGCGGCGGGGGGTGGTGTTGAGAGGATTCACCAGAGACAGAGTGGGGAACAGAACAGGCAGACTGACTGAAACACACTGCTGAGGGGAGCAGCGGGCGAGTCAGGAGAGGTCTGCTGCGCCATGTGGGGAGCTCCCTGGCTGGCGGGGATCGAACTCGTGCTGCAGAGGCTGCGGATGGCTTCATAATGTGGTGCTTAACCCCTTGTGCCACCAGAGAGGCCCAGCCTTTCACTGTATTTGAAGCTGGACCCTGAGGCCTACTTTGCAACGCTGAGGGGCATCTGCCTGTGACTGTGGGCCATTCGCCTCGAGCCCTGGGGCTCTGGCCACTTTACACCGCAACTCCCTGATCTCCCCAGAAAGCCCTTGGCCACGGAGCCCTCCCCTGGGACTGGTCTTGGCCATGAAGCTGCCCTGGCCATCAGGGTGAGAGCACGTCCTGCATGTGCCGAAGGGCCGGGAAGCCAGCGGCGCGGCGTCCCCAGATGACCACCAGAGCCAGCCAAGGCAGCAGCCCGATGGTGCCCCAGTCACAGGCAACAACAGACGCTGCTGTGTGACGTCCCTGGGCCCCTGCCTGTCACCCAGCCGCAGGGCAGCCCTGGCAGGAAGGGCTCACTTTCCATGAGGCCGCCTTGGCTTAGGATTCTATCAGACGGGCGGTTTATCTCAGCCCGCTGCTCGGGCAGGGCGGGCGACCCCAGGGCAGGGCAGGGCCTTCCGCCAGGCAGGCTCGTGCGGGTTGTTTAGCAGCGAGTGCGCAGGCAGGACAGCAGAGGGGCGGCTCCACGGCCTGCTGCACTAGGGCAGGCTCCTAGCTGCTGCCGGGGGGCGCGCGGGGGGGCCTGGCGCCTGTCTGTCCCTCACGTGTCTGTCTCCAGCACATCTACCAGCTGAGGGGCTGTCCTCGGCGGGCCCCCCACCTGGCTCCTGCGCGCGGAAGACCTTCCCATAGTACTCGATCAGCAGCTCGGTGAACAGGCTGACGGGCACGAGGGCACTCAGGGAGCACGCCCCCTGGGACGGCCAGATCAAATTCAGCCCGAAGACGCGGGCCAGGTTGGAGCTGTTCATCTTGTTAAAGATGCTCTCCCGGGACACCTGGAGGGGACACGTGCGATGCGGCCCGTGGGTTTTGTGGGGAGAGCGCCGGGCCGGGAGCCAGCCCCAGTGCTGGGACCTTGGGCAGGGGAGTGCGAGCAGGGAGGGTCGCTGGCAGAGCAGTGGCCTGGCCAGGCCTGGAATGAAGCCCTTCGGGACCGGGGAGGCCTTGAGATCAGACCCAGTCTATAGGGGTTCAGGCAGGGGGCTTGGAGCTCAGCCCCCCCAGGGCCCTGCCTCACCCACTCACCGTGTTCAGGAAGCCCATGAGGTAGCTGAGGACAGCATAGTTGTGCTCTGGAAGGCTCTGCAGAATCTGGCGGCAATGGGTCACGCGCAGGCTGCTCTCCACACCTGCAGGGGCGCAAGACTCCCCCTGAGCTGGCCCCTCCCGGGGAGAGCAGCTCCCAGGACACTGCCCTGGGGCCTGGCCTGGCCCCTCCCCACCAGCTCTTCTTTGCAAAACCCCCTCTTCCTTGTGTCCCATCCCCACGTTACCTCCCAGCAAGGAATGCTCTGGACTAGAAGCGGGCAAGCTTCAGCCCTCAGGCCAAAGAGCCACTAGTTGTCAGTAAAGTTCTGTGGGTGCACAGCCGCTCACCTCCATGCTGCTGGCACTAAGGCCGGGTGGAGGGGCGGCAGCAGCAGGGACCATGGGTCCTGAACTACTGCGCGTTGACCCTTCACAGGAAGGTGCCCGCCCCACCCCCACTGGCAGCCTGGTGCCGCCCCCGGGGCTGGAAGCCGCTGTCTCAGACGCCCCCCATCCCTGCGGGCCACATCCCTGAGCCCCGACACTATGGCCACACGGGCCACGTGTCCGCCAAGCTCCCGAAGCTGGAGTGTGTGCACACTCACACACATACCCCCTCTTAGACTCACAGTCACAAACACCACACACACGTGCAGACTCATGCACAAATACTCAAATGCATACTCACACTCACATAAACTGCATACCCACAAGCCCCAAGGGGCAGACCCCGGCCTTCGCCATCACCTGGGGGGGGGGCTGCACCTGACAGATGGCCCCTGGCCCCACGTCCCCTCACGTGGGCAGCCTGGCCCAGCTGCACCGCAGGCCCAGAGCCTCGGCGGGATCTGGCAGGGGCGGCCCCCAAACCTCCATCCCGGCCTGCAAGCCAGATGGAAACCAGGGGTCCAGCAGCCCCCAGCCTGGCCCCACGTGCCCCAGGGCAGGCACTGGCACCTACTGGTGATCCCCAGAATCTGCTCATAGGCCTCGAAGGTCAGCAGTGGCTGGGGCAGCTCCCGCAGGAAGGTCTTCAGGATCGCGGCAGGCACGTGGATGTCCCCGTAGTCGTCGAAGTTCACGGGCTTCCCTGGACACAGGACACGGTGCGTCTGGTTCCGACTGGCCTGGTACGAAGTTCGGGGCAGGGGACTCCGGGGCACCCCACTCACCTTGATTGTAGAGCCGCTGGATCTCACGGACGGTTGGGACACTGGCCGATCTCCGGAACAGGCCCTCGGTGTGGAGCCCTGCAGAGAGAGGCTCCAGGCATCAGGTCCCAGGGCATCAGGTTTCTGGAATGTTCCATGACTCCTCTGCTGGGCATCACCCTCCCGTGGCTGGCCGGGAGTGCTGTCCAGCCCTGCTGGTCCAGGTGGAAGAGCCCCGGCATCTCCCCTGGGCGCTCAGCTTGGCCTCAGGACCGGGGAGCTGCCCTGCGGGCAGCACCATCTGTACGTGCCAATTCGGCCGCTGCAGGGAGGGACCCCTTCTGGGGCGCTGTGCGCCAGCCCTAGCAGCAGAGCATGGACGGGGAGGAGGCAGAGGCCCAGAGAGGGTAAGCAGCGGGCCCAAGGCCGCACGGCCAGTACACAGCAGAGCGGACTCTCAGACCACGCGTGCAGCCGAGCCCGCAGCTGGAGCCGCTGTGCGCCCCGGGATCCCGCCCTGCCCGCTCCTCCCACCCCTGGCCCCGGGGGCTTGGACCCGAGCAGGCCTCCCGGGAGGCCTGCCCAGCAGCCTCTCGCACTCACCTTTCTCTCTCAGGTACGTCACCGTGAACCGCAGCACCGGGGGGATGAGCTCGCCTTGGTTCTTGTCTTTGAGGCTGAGGGGAGACAAGAGAGTGCGACCTCTTTGATCAGGCTGACGGGCGCTCATGACCCCCTCAGGGCCCTGGACCTCTCCGCCCTGGGAGAGTGAAGGGTGCAGCCTCCGCCCCAGGGTCTCCTGGCCAAGAGGGGCGGGAGCGACAGAGCAGCGGGCTCCAGCAGGGGGCGCACACCTTCCGGGAGGCCCAGGCCTGGAGAGGGTGCTGCCCAGACGGCTTCTGAGTGGGGTTTTGAGGGATGAGTAGGAGCCAGCAGACGCCAAGAGGGAAGGGCTTCCCACACAGAGGGAGGGACACAGGGAGGCCGGCGGTCTGAGTGGATTGAGCCAGGAGGGCCGAGCAGGAGCCCTCAAAGAGCACCGTCTCCCACGGCCGAACAGACACAGGGTTCACAGGTGGAGATGGAAGCGTTAAGACTTAAGTGCAAAGATAAGAGAAGGGTCTTCCTGCACCCCCACCGCGGCTGACAGACTGGCCACGGGGCGGGGTGGGGAGGGGCCTGCTGCTCTCCCCGCGAGCCCTGGACAGACCGACCCACACTAACATCATCGACAGCCTGTGTGGGGAGACACAGAGGACTGCGCTGCCCCCCGCGGTCCTGCAGCCGCAGCGATGTGGGCTCCCTCGCACCACTTCCCCCCCGGCCCCTCCGAGGGGCGGGCTGGGCCCACGTGCACGCAGACGGTGGAATGCGGCGCAGGGTCCTCTGCTCCAGGGCCCTCCAAAGCCCAGGCCCTTTTCCTCCTCCTACTTCCTCTGGACTGGACACCTGCCGGCGTCCTGACTGCCCAGGAGCGAGGTGGCCCCGGGCCCACCTCAGCTTCCACAGCCTGTCCCGGCTGCCAAGCAGACGCTGGCGCCGTCCCCGCAGAACTGCACAGATTAAACGTGGGGGACAGGAGGCTGTTGTTTGTTCCAAGTCAAAGGTACCGACAGGGCTTCCTGGGGACACCCCTTGGAGACGAGAGGCAGGCCGGGGAGCCGCGGCCACGGCCCAGGGTCATGCAGCCAGAGAGCCAGGGTTGTCCATTCTGGACCCGCTGGTCACCTTCCCGGGAAGGCCACCTGAGGCCTGCTGGCAGGGTGGACGCCGTGAGCAACAGCTGCGTGAGGCTAGCCCCCGCCTTTCCTCAGAGCAGACCCCCAGAAGGAGGGGGCCTAAGAGCACCCCAGAAGGGCTGGCTGTGACCCAGTCGCTGCCGCCACTTTGTTATCTCTGCCAGTGTTGACTCCCTGCCTGTGCCAGTCTCAGCGCGGGGCGGCCTGGCATGAAATCAGTGCTCTCCCAGAGCAGAACCCCACTGTTTGGGTTTCTCCGCCCCTTCCCACCCCCCAACTTGCTGGTGGGGGTGGGGCTCGTTCAAGAGACTGCCTGAGCTGGTGCAGAGAATGACAATGATCCCAGGGGGCTCTGGATAGACACGGGGGCTTCCGAGCTGGCTGGGGGGCCCAGGGTAGTGTCAGAGCCTATCACCCCACATCCCTCCCCGCCTGGTGCATCTCTGGGTCCAGGGCGGGTCTCTGCAAGGCTGCGTGTGTTGTGTGCCCCGAGCTGAAGTAGGGAGGCGGGCAGGGAGCTGGAGGGCTGGGGGGCAGGTCCACACCCACCGGAGGGCAGTGTGCTCCTGGCCAGCGGCCCCTGCACCCTCACTGATGGATGGCCACCGGCCCCCGAAAGCCCTGAGATGCTCGCTGCCCCTCCCTGTGGGAGACAGGCTCAGAGTAATTCAGAGCAGGTTCGTTTCCTGGCTCTGCAAGCACGGAGCGCTCGGATCCAGAGGGCTGTGGCCTCTCCCCAACAGCAAAGGGGTGCAGGAATGGCGCCTGCAGCGGCAGAGATAACAGGAGGGGTGGCGCGGCCAGCCAGGCGTTTCCCAGCCTCCCCTCCCAAATTCCGAAAGCGGGTGGAGGGCTGCAGCCCAGGCCCTGACCCTTTCATCTGCAGCCTGAGCCGAAGCCTGGAGCCCCAGGCGCTGTAGACGGGCAGCGTGTGTGATCACCGCAGGAAGCTCTGGGGGGCCCAAGGGGGTTATCACTGCACCGTCTTTATGGGGGACGAAACTGAGATTCACAGAAGCATATAATTTTATGTTAAGTCACACAGTTTAAGATTTAAGTCAAAATCTGATTCCCAAGCCCTGGTTCCTGGTTCCTCCCAGCCTTGCGCTCCGAGCTGGGAGGTGGTGACGAGCCCCAGGAAGGCTGTGCTCGGCGCTGCGCAGCTGGCCGTCTTGGAAAGGAGGCTGAGGGATAACAATCCACGTTGCAGCACCAGCTGCATCAGTTCTCCAAACCCTCATGCAGGTCAGGCCGGCACTTGACGGAACCCTGGAACAGGGGCCAAAGGCTGTGACAGGTGCCGCCCAGGGCGTGCCGGTGAGGGTGGAACTAACTACCTAATGCGAACTATTGTGGGGGGGGGGGGGGCGGGGTGGAGACTCTGGTAGCCCCAGGATTGAGCGTTTGGGATGTCAGTGTTTTTGGATCCTCAGTGATTCCCATTCCGGGGCAGCCATTTCTGTCTCCACCTCGCCGATCTTCCGGAAGGCCGCTGCGGGCCTCTGAAGGACGTGGAGAGGCTTCCAGCAGCCAGCCTCAGAGGAGAGAAGTTGGGGGCTTTGAGGTAGCAGAGAGAGTAAAACTGTTCCCAGCTTTGCTGCAGTTACAGCCTGAAGGGAAGGTGAAGCCTCGCGCATGTGGGGCTGGTCGGGCTGGTCGGGCTGCTCGGCCGCTGCAGCTGCTGTTTTCAGAGTCGATTGTCTGGTGCCAGGCTGGGGCATCGTGGCAGCTCCAGGAGCATCTCCTGTTGTGTCTTCTGCTATCTTTGTGAGCTGCGACCTGGCCTGTTGTCCAGCCACAGTCCGCAGTGGCGGGAAGACGCCATCTTGGGAGCGTCTTTGTTCGGGCTTTGGGCTCTGCGCCCTCCGTGGCGCCATCTTGGGAGCCTTTGTGTTTGTAAACCCCAGACAGCTTCGGGTGAGGTAAACGGCCACTGTGGCCTCAGTGACTCTCTGTGTTTTTCCTTGTTCGTTAAATAAATCCCAGTATTGTTGTTCTCTGAACCTGAGTGGTCTTGCAATTGTGCATGTGGGTGAAGAACTCAACAGTGACCAGTACTGTCCTTGGCCAGTTCCAGTGCCCCTTGCTGCCCTAAACCATAAGCAGAGCCTACGGAGGTCCTGGGGCTGTTCCCAGGATCTTATACTCCCTACATGGGCGCATGGTGCAGCAATCCAAAGAGTGGTGAACCCCAAGCAGACGGGACAGAGAATAGAAAGCCAGACGCTCCTCATCTCTTTCCTTACATGGTGGGCCCCAGCTTAGCTGAAAACCTCAGCTCCAGGAGGTAAGCAAAAGCTGAAAGAGCCCCATGGTCCTGTTCACTAATAGATAACCAACCGAAAGAATGTCCCTGAATCGTCACCATCAGATCCTATTTCTTCCAAATGTTCCCCATTTGAAAGGAGGAGAGGCCTGGAAGGGGAACGCATAACCACTTCTCCAAAGAGTTTGAAAATTCCACCATCCTTCTATTTCTTTCTTCTCGCACCTACCCACCCTCTCTCCTCTACACGAAGAAATACAGAACACAGGGAAAGGAAACTCCACAGGTAATATAAAAGAGAATACACGTGTGCTTTTGTCTGTAACTCTTTTACTCCCTCTTATTTGATTTAATAGGCGATTGCTGGGGCCTGCTTGGTGGCGCAAGGGGTTAAGCCGCAGCACCATGAAGCTATCTGCAGCCACGGCAGCACTAGTTCGATCCCCAGCCAGGGAGATACCCACATGGTGCAGAAGACTTCTCCTGTCTCCCCGCTGCTCCCCTCAGCAGTTATCCGCCTGTTCTGCTTCCCAGTCTGTCTCTGGTGAATCCTCTCACTCCCCACACCTCTGGCCTGTACCCCAGTTCTTGTATGCATAAATAAATAAACCTTTTTTTAAAAAGGCCATTGCACAGAGTACAAATTATAAATTAGTATAAGTGGGCATACTTCATGGTGAAAGACTGGATGTTTCCCCCCGAGACTAGGAATAAGGCAAGGATGTCTGTTATCACCACTCCTAGTCAATGTTGAACTGGAGGTTCTAGACGGAACAAATCAGGCAAGAAAAGGAAGTAAAAGACATCCAGGTGGGAGAAGAAGAAGTTAGTCCTCTCCTATTTGCAGATGAAATGATCTTCGACAAATAAAATGCTAAAAAAAATTTACAAAATACCTGTTAGAAGTGATAAATGAGTTCAGCTAGATTGCATGGTATAAGATCAGTATCGAAAAATCAATTGTAGTTCTATAACTAGCAACAGACGATAGAAAAATAAAATTAAGAAAACAGTTTCACTTACACAGTATCACAAAGATACGAAAGGTAGTAAAAAAATAAACTTCATGAAAAAGAACAAGACTGGCATATTGAAAACTGTAAAATATTTTTGAAAGAAATTTAAAAGATCCAAATAGATGGAAAGACATCCCGTGTTCATGGGTTGGAGACTTACTGTTGTTAAGACAGTAATACTTCCCCAACTGGTCTACAGAGACCAGCTAATCCCTATTGAAATCCCAGTCTTTTTGCAGAAACTGACAAGCTGCTTTTAAAAATAACATGGAGATTCAAGGATCCAGAATAGCCAAAACAATCTTGAAAAAGAGGAACAAGGTCGGAGGAGCACATGTCTCAATTTCAAAACTTACTACGAAGCTACAGTAGTAAAGATAGTATGGTATTGGCATACAGGTCAATGAAATAGAATTGAGAGTCCAAAAATAAATCTTCAAAGGATACCAAGGAAATTCATGTGGAGGAAATAAACTGTTTCAACACTGGTCCATCTGTGTAGAGTTATCAGGGAAGACTTCCTGGAGGAGGGGACTATAGAGATAGAATAAGAGCAACACAGTGCTGGGAGCTGGGCCTGGCTCAAGTTGTCTGCACACCTGTTCCTCTCCCCCTCACCCCCTTAACCCTTCCTTGTGGCCCTGGAGGGTGAGCAGGGCAGGGTTTCCCCTCCAGTTACAGGGTAGCAAATCTGGAGCAAGCAGTAAAGTCAGTAGCTTGATTTCCCAAGGACCAGTGGCAGGGAATGCACAGGTGTGCTTCCCTTGGCGCTGCAGGGAAGGGAGCATGCGCAGATGCATCTCCGACTGCCTCTTAATGCAGTAATTAGCTTGCTCGGAGGTGACAGCTTTCTGTCATACGCTTTTGAACTTAAAGCTGGAATTCACACTAGTGAATAGGACTTGCTTATGAATTTTAATGACTTCCATTCAGTCGTAGTCCAAACATATTACATATTGGGCCCTTTATTTAATATGTTTATTGCCATTTTATTATAGTCATTTGCAATGAAATAGCATAAAATATTAATTTAAAGAGGCAATCACACGGATTACCTCTCAGAGTGGCAGGCACGGGATGGTTTTCCAAGGCTGCCCAGTGCTCCCTGAGGATGCCATGAGCCAATTTTCACCATTACAACTGGCCCCGGTTCTCAAAGCCTTTCAAGGTCCCCCTTGGGTCTTAAAGAGCATCACATTTTTATGTAAGAAAACAAATCATAGGTAAGTTTCCAACAAGAAAAGACTAACTTAAGTGGCACTGAGCCCTCAGCTCTCCAGGGCTCCCCTCCCCCTCCAGGACGTAACTGCTTCCTCCCGAGGCTGCAGAATACACCATGTCGACATTCCAGGTCCCTCGGGAGCCCGAGCCATTGCCAGAAGCAGAGGACAAGAGGACAGACAAAAGCTCATGGCTGAGCGGGAGGACCCTCCAGACACTCCCCACGGCAGCCTGCTCAGAGCCACCGAGGAGGGTTCTGTGTGCAGTCTAGAGCATCAAGGAAGACCTCCTGGAGGAGGTGTCACCGAGAAGAGTCTTAAAAGATGAAGATGTTGGCCAGACAGGTGGCCCAGAATCCTTTACAAGGAGTCGTTAAAGGTTAAATATCACATCAGAAATAAGGCAACAAGCTGAGAGGTCAGTGAGTTCAAGGTCGTGTGACTAAGGGCAGGATGGGTCAGGGTTGGGGCCATGACAACAGTCTCCATGTCCCGGCAGCTGGGCCTGACAGACGTTTGCTTCTCACACCTCCTGCTCTCCTGGCTGTCGTGGATGCCAGCAGGGGCTGGCCGCGGTCACTCAGGGACCCCCTTCCACATCACCGCCAGAGACGCACAGCTTGCTGGCCCCTGAAGTCCCTCCCTAGGACGCACCCGGTTCGCTCCTCTCTCACAGGCCAGAGCAAGGCCCCCGGAGTGCGAGAACCCAGGTCCCTCCCTCTGCCTCCTGCCGCTCCTGACGCACACGGGCTCCTGGACGCACACACAGGCTGTCCCTGGCTCCCCGGAGGGATGCGGTGGGTCACTTACTATCGCAGGCTGACGCCAAACTGCTGGGTGGGCAGAGGAGGCCGTGGTGGTGGCGTCTTGGCGGGAGGGGGCGGCCTGCCCGTGGCCAGGTTATGGAGCCTCTCGTCATACCTGTGGACACAGCAGAAGCCCGGCTCTCACCCTGCGGGGCCAGCCTCGGCCAAGAGGGCCCTGCCCACGGTGGACACGCCAGTCCACCTCGCTTGCAGCTGTGCCATGCACACACGAGCACGCACATGCACATACACGCACACGCTCGCAATCCTCCATGGCCGTGGTGTCCGCCTAAGAGGGCAGAGGGTGGCCTAACCCCTACTGCCCAGCCTCTCCCGCCAACCTCTGACCAAGATCTCACACTCAGGTGCTGGACAAGGGTGTCCCTCTGCTGGAAGGCCCTTTCCTGACCTCCCCATGCAGCCAACTGTCTCTTTGCAGTTCACGTCGAGTCACCTCCTCCTGGAAGCCTTCCCTGATAGATTCCCTCCACCAGAACCCTCCCCAGCTGGATTCAGCACCTGTGCTGGCCCCGTCATCACTGGCTGTGACCCCCGCTCCCTGACGGCCTGCTGGGGGTGCTGTCCCACCGTAACAGCCCTGCACTGCTGTCCTCCAGTGCATGACCTGGGGGGAGCCCGACATTTCCACAGCCCCGGCAAGGCTGGTGACCTCACCAGTTTGCAGTAGAGAAGCACCCCCAGAGAAGGAGATGCAAAGGGTTGGGGGTGTCCAGGTGGACCAGGCTGGCTGAGGGGTGGCCTCTACCTGCCTGCCCCTAAGTGGGAGGCTGTCAGGGGAGGGTCACAGTGTGAAAGCAACACCACGATCACACCCATCAGGCCCCACACTGACCCCTGCGGGCCGGGGCCTCAGGACACTCCACTCTGTGCCTGCTCTGTGCACGGAGACATCCCGCATCTTCAGCTCAAAAGCAAAACCACAAACACCCGGCAGCTGAAGGCAGCCCCTGTCGTGGCTGATTTTCTCCCGTCGGTTTTACACGGTGGGAGAGAAAAGCATCTCCTGATTCTTCGACTCAGCACTTGTGTCTGTGCTGTGGCCTGCGCCAGGGCTGGCTGGGGGCTGGAGACAGCCCTAGAGGCAGGTGGGGGTGGGGTGCGGGGGGGGGTGCTTTCGCCCCGTGGGCCCCGGGGGGCTTGGAACTTACTGCAGTACTTCTTGGGGGACCGTGAGCTCGTGGGGCTCCCGCAGCTGGAGGTGCTCCCGCAGCTCGCTCAGAGAGTTGACATAGGTGACTTTCTTCCCAAACTTGTGACTAGGAAAGCAGAAGCGGGAGAACGAGTGGACTGGGCGGCAGCGCAGGGATTTTCACTTTAAGGACGTGAACGCGGGACATAGCCCGAAGCCAGGGCCTGGCAGAAGCCTGGGCCTGCAGAAGTTTCGCTTCCTTAAGATGCCGAGTCTCAGCTGCATACAGATGAGTACCCCCTCGATGCCCTGACTGCCCAGATCTACGCAGCACGGAGGGGAGGCGCCCGGAGATGGTGGGGGCCGGCGGTGGCCGCCCCTTTGGTGCCCCGCTCCTCGAAGGGTCCCAAGCAGGCACCGCCCAGGCGGTCACACTCTCCACCTTGTCCCCCAAGCCCCGGGGAACTTGTCTGTCCCAGGGCCTCAGGCCCCCCCAACAAGGGGGCGACTCTCCCTCCCAGTGACCAGCGAGCGCAGGCACAGCCCCACACCCGCTCCTCCTGGGAGGGCTCTGCGGCTAAGGAGCCCCAGTTCCCTCGCCTGGCAAGGGGGGCAGTGCCAGGAGGACGGGTGGGTAGTGGCTGGGCCGCTGGGGGGCTAGGGCGCCACGGCCTCGTGGGGGTTCAGTGGCAGGCGTGTGAGCACACCTGTGACACACCAGCACCTCACGGGGCAAGTCCTGGCCCCCAAGCTGCCGCAGGCCCCTTCGCTCGTCTGTGTGCGGCCAGAACACCTCACAGGGCCTGCACCCTCGTGTCCCCAGGCAGGTGCCCGCTGAAACCGCACTGGGGGGCCCCAAAATCTGCTCTCCCGTAACTACAAGGGGCTGCCCCACCAGAGCGCGGGCACCGGCGCCCCCTAGTGGACAAGAGGGGCACCACCTGAGCTCGGAGGCCCAGGCATCTACCCTGGGGCCTCCTGTTCTGCTTGCACCCTGCGCGGGGCAGGTGGGCACTTCAGGGCTGCAGGAAGGCCCTCATGCCACCCCCCGCCCACGCAGGAGCCCCTGTGACCATCGCTCTGTGCTTCTATCTGACCCCGCCAGCCGGCGAGGCTTTTGCTGGACACCACGCTCCGGGGGGCCAGAGTCCCGCTTCCTGCTTCTCACACCCAGGAAAGGGGCCTGGGTCGGCTCATCCAGGGGAGCCCCAAGTGGCGAGCATGGGAATCCTGGTGAGCACAGCGGGTCCACACCCGTTCTTTTCAGAGAGGCCCCGGGGCTCAGAGCTGGCTGCCAAGCCTGACGCAGGTACACAGAGCCGGCCCTCGGCGGGCGGGGGTGGTTCCAGCCGCAGGTGCAGACCTCGCCCGTGTCTGCTCGTGACCTTCCGCCCTGCCGCACCTGAGCACCCCCCGTGCAAGGCCACAGCGCCCGGACAGGGCTGGGGCCCGCCCCGGGGACACCCAAGGAGCCCGCACCTGATAAGGGGCTTGAAAACGTTCCACAGGGCTTTGATGAAGCTGGTGGGGTGCACCACGTAGAGGGCCTTCAGGTTCTTTCTGTACCTAAGGGGCACGTGAGACAGTCTCAGACCCTGGGACACGGAGACTCCCCCGCGGAGAGGCCGCGCCACCACCAGGTTTGGGGTTGACCCCGCTAAGCAGGGCGCTCCCCAGGCTGGCTGGTGCTGGGTCATGGTTGCCTCCCAGAGGCGAGCTAGGAGCCCCCTTAAAAGCTGGCTGCTCCCTGGTTTGCTCCCCGCCCCCCACCACCCTGTCCCACCCTGTGGGGCTGAGTAGTTCAGCCAAAGCCATCAGGCTGAACCTGCTAGCTGGGCCACGAGTCGGGGTGAGCAGGTCCTGGTGGTGTCCCAGCCCCACAGGAGAGGGGTGGGTTACACTGCCCAGCCTGAGGCCTGCCAGGGGCCTGCCAGAGCCTCCGCCAGCCCACTGGGAAGAGCCCACTGCCGTGGTGGAAGAATCCACGCCATGGAGATCTAGGCCATGACAAACAGGCCCAGGCCCAGGAGCCAGCTGCTAAGACATGTGCCAGCGTGTCCCCCACCAGGCCTGGGGTGGGGTGAGGACAGGGTGTCGAGGGTCCAGTGGGGTGCCGGAGGCCATGCAAGGCCAGGACAGCAGTGGCCGGGTGCGGAGCTGGGGTGGGGAGGGGGCCTCACAGGGCAGCAACCATGGCACAGAGGTGACCGCTTCCTCAGCCCCCCCCAGGCCCCCCAGTCCTCCAGTTACCCCAGGAGCCCTCAGGCACCCCCAGACATCCCAGGCATGAGGTACCCCCCAAGCCTCCAGCTCCCACAGGCTCCCCAGGTCCCCCCAGAGCCTCCCCGGCCCCCCAGGCCCCCAGCACCCACTTCCTGTCAAACTCCTTGTAGGCGCCCTGCAGCCAGCGCAGGGAAGGCTTGTTGCGGCTGCTCAGCCCGTGGTGGAAGTACACGACCACGTAGTCCCTCTCCGCGGCCCGCTCCAGCGCGTGCTTCAGGTACCTGCGCACAAGGGGTGTCAGGGCGCCGAGTCAGGTCCCCGAAACCTGCGGCCTCCCGGCACCACCCGCACCCCCACCCCCACCGGCTCTGCAGGGCTCCGCAGGGCTCAGCCACGGGACCCCCTCGTGGGCCGGGGCCTCGCGGGTTAAGGGATACCCAGGCTCCGCGGCGCCCCCCAACCTGCCCAGGTCACACAGCCAGGCTGGTGGGGGAGACAGGCCCCAAGGGCCCGCCTCAACCTCCCGGGCTGTGGACGCGGCCTCGTTGAGAGGCGACTGCGTTTCGGACCCCGGGGTGGGGACGCTGTCCTGGGCCATCGGGTGGCGCGGAAGCAGCCTCGCAGGAGGAGCTGCCCCTGGGGCGGGCGAGGCGCAGAGCCGGGGCGGGTGGGGGTCCTTGCTCAGCTCGCGGATGCAGCGGCCCTTCCTCCTGGTGACCCGCGGCCCCTCCTCCCGGCAGCGCCCTCCGGCGCCCGAGCACGGGGAGCTGGCTGGGGGAGTCGGCAGCTGCGCTCGGGCTCACGCCTTCCCCGTTTCAAAAACAGGAGGAGACCGGGAAGCCACCGTGGGCAAGGCTGAGCCTCGGGATCTTCCCGTGGCGGCCGAGAAACCCACAGGCACCTTTGGGGTGTCTGAGAAAGGCGCCCCTTCCCCGGGGCAGGGCCCGGAGCGCGCCGAAGGCCCGGCGCAGGCAGGACCTACTCAGCCGCTCAGGCCGCGCTCGGCTCCACCTGGCGAAGGCTCGTGGGCAGGTGCACAGGGGAGCGCGGCCCGGCAGCTGCCAGAGGCGTGGGTTTTGGGGATTGAGATGAAATCACAGCGTAACAGGAGCCGCTTCACACGGAACAGCTCTCGGGCGTCCAGCGCACAAAGTGGGCGAGCGCCCTCCAGCCAGCTCTGAACATCCCCCTCTGCTGCGAGAAAACTCACACCCACTGGGCCGAGGTTCCCCCTCGGCCCCCGACCCCCGGGGCTTCGAGAAGGGGGTGGGTGCGAGGAGGCCTACAGGGAAGCTGGGCCGCACTCAGGACTGCAGGTGGGCTGGGCCCGGCGGGACCCCGCCTGGGACGCGCCCCTCCCTGCGCGCCCTCCGACCGCAACACCCTCCGTGGCAACACCCTCCGTGGCAACACCCTCCGTGGCAACACGCTCCAAGCCGAGCGGGCTTGGTGGAGAGGCAGGCGCGCAGGCCTGGCTTGCTGGTGGGGTGGGGAGGTGCGCGGGGCGGGGCCAGGGAGGGCACCTGGACTTACTCCAGCAGACGCTGGTGGTTGAGCTCGTGGGAGGGCGGCATCCGGCAGCAGCTGAAGGTGACCACGCGTCTCCCGAAGCGGTCCTCCCCTGCGGGCGCAGACAGCATGAGCCTGCCAGCGCCACGGCCTCCCAGCCAGGCCCCCTGGGCTGCGGGCACAGGGACTGCGGCAGCTGGGCACCCCCCCAGAAATGTCCCCCCAGCCGACACACTGGAAGCCACCCCCCATTTGGCCTCCACCTGTTGACCCGGGTGCTGGTGAGGAGGGCAGGGGACAGGTGTGGCGGGTCGTCTGAGAGACCCTCCTGGCCACTGGTGGAGGGCGGCCTGGAGCAGGGCTGCCCGGTGGAGGCACTTTGCAGCGCCTGGTGGAGCGAGGACTGGGAGTGGCCAGTGACGTGGGAGGCGTGGGGAGGCCCCACTGGCCCAGGGCTCGGGACACTGAGCTGTTGAGCTGTCCGATGGCTGGTGAAGGTGCAGATCAGTGTGTGTGTAGTGGGGGGGGCGCATGTGGGGAGGGCCACCAGGTGGAGCTGGGACACGGGCACGCAGGAGCCCCGGACAGAGGCCTTCGGGCGTGAAGAGAGGCTCCCAGACCAGTGGATGCCGGCAGGGGTGAGGTTCGCCCACCAGAGCCACCCACACAGCACCGTTCAGTGGCCTGGAGGCTGGGGTCAGGCAGGAGCCTTCTGGCACCGGTCCAGAGGCCAACGGCAGCGAGATGCCAGGAGCAGAGGCACCGCGTGCCCAGCGGACATGGGGGCTCAGGAGAGCTGGGGGAGGGCATCATGGACTCCAGCACCCACATGAGTCCAAGGTGACCACGTCTGGCTACATTTAAGTCAGCTTTATCCGCAGACGCCCAAGAGTCCAGTGTCTGCGGTTTCTGCAGCCGCGTCTCAGGTAACCAGAGCACGTTGACCTTCCGTTTGGGGAGAGTCGGGGCCAGCCGGGGTGCTGGGTGTGCAGCGCCCGTGAAGGACCCGGCTGATTGCTGCCCCACGAGACGGGCTCACCTGGTGGCCCAGCCCCGCACTCAGCCGGCCCCTCCGGACAGCCGTGGGCATGGCCCGCCCCCGTGCCTGCAGCGTGTGCTGCGTGTGCAGCGAAACACACTCTTGGTCAGTGAAACCATCACTCAGCTCGGGCGTCTTTCCGGAAGGGGGCGATGCTGCCCCGGCTTCTCAGGCGCAGGTGGCGCGGGGATGTCCCCTTTGTCAGACCACTGGCTAGTGCTTGTTCCTCTCGAGGCACAGCCCGGCGGAGGGCGGGAGCCTGACAAACCCCCCGCCACAGGGCTCACGGGCAGACTGGCGCTGTCAGTGGTTGGGGCCACCCAGCTGGGGACTCACCTGCCACCTGCAGGATGCCGTGCCTGGCCACGTCGTAGAACGAGTGCTGCGTGCTCAGCGCCGGGGCCTGTGCGGCTGCGGGAGGTACCGGAGGCCTCTCCGTGCCCAACTCTGTGGCCTCCTCCTCATCTGTCTGCAGCTCTGGGGCAGAAAAGGAGGAACCACGCAGGAGTCAGCTGTGTTCTCCTGGAAGGAGAGGGCTGGGGGTCTTTCTATAGGACAGTTACTGTGGCTCCGCTGTGTACCCACTATGTGCCACTGCAGCTGTGCACCCACTAGGTGTCTGTTGTGTCCATGCACTGCATGTCTACCTCTACTGTGCACCCACTATGCACCGGCCTCTCCTTTGTACCCACATGTCCCTGACTGTAGGTCACAGAGCTGGTCCGTCCCAGGGCCGGGCCGGCTGGAGGCAGGGGACAGCCGTGGGGGCTGAGGGTGCACGGGGACAGCTCCTCCAAGGATAACTTTGCTGGATACTTTTTTTACAGGATCGATTCTTCAAGCCACATGAGCCCACGATCCACAAACGCAGGCGAGGCTGCAGCAGCCGCACTTTACCTATCTCAGCCAGCTCCTCCAGGTCCAGCCGGGACATGCTCGCCTGCTGGGCAGAGGGCCCGGGCGCCTGGTCCCGATGCCCCCGCCGGTGGATCTGGGCATGGGGCTGCCAGCACCCTGGAGAGAAGCACAGAGACCCACCTGGGTGTTAGCTCGCGTCCCGGGGCACGGCAGGGGTCACAGGCCGCGAATGCACTTCTAGGAAGAGTCCGGCGCAGGGAAACGCAAAGCCGCAACCAGCAGCTCAGAGGTGGCCGCTGGGCCCAGGGCCCAGGTGCTGGGCAGGCACGGGGGTGGGCGGACGTGACCAGGGCCACGGTGGAGGGGCCCAGGGTCCCTGCGCGGGATGCTTGCGGGGAGACAGGGCCGGAGCCCGTGGCACTGGACACTCCCCTGGGCCCCGACGCCTGGGCTGTGAAGAGGGAACAGGGGCGCCGATGCGAGGGGCCAAGACCTTGTGACCATGCCTGGCAGGAGCCCTGGCAGCGAGGCCCCAGGCCAGGAGCAGCGAGGCCGGCACCAGCCGTTGCGGCCAGGCCTTAGCCGGGCTGGGGGAGGCGCGTTTCTGCTGATGACCTGAAGAAAGAGCCCATTGTAGATGGCAGAGGGCGCGGGGAGCAGGGCGCCTTGAAGAGGAGCAGAGGACGAGCGAGCGTCACCTGGTCCCGTGTCCTCGGGGGAAGGAGTGACCGCGTTGCTCTAAAGGCGTCGCCTGCGCGCAGGGCCTGGGTCTACAGCGCCGAGATTTTTCACGCTCGTTTCTTTCATTTTTGCAAAAGCCGGCACGGCCTACCCGCGCGACCCTCCCACCAACGTCACGCTCTCCCTCGCCAGACTGGGACGTCAGGAGGCCGGAGCTGCGGCGCGGGCGGCCCTCACAGGGGAGCCGATGGGGGCGCGGTGGGGAGCACGAGGCCCAGCGCCGCCGCCCGCCCAGCGGGAAGGGCACCGCTCGGCTCCTGCGCTCAGGCGGTTTCCAGTCGCCCGGCTGCTCTATTTATAATTTACAGCAAAACGGTTTGTCGCTAGAAAGATCCATCTGCACATCACACACACAGACCCTCCGGGCAGTTCTCTCCATGCTGTCGCTACAAGTGAACACCTACTTACCTCGGGGAAATTAGCACCACATTTAATCTGAGCAGTGTGTCCACACGGGGTGCTTGGGGACGGGCTGGCTGCGGGGTGACCGGCTCTTCTGGCAAAGGGCTGGGGCGGCAGGGGCGGGGGTGTGACGCCACCCCGCTTTCCTCCTGTGGGCTTGCCCAGGGGGTGCAAGTCCAGGTGTGAGGGGCAGGAGCCCTGGCTCCCGCTGAGAGGGGTGTCACTGAGCCAATGTGGTTCCGGGTCTCCTTGGGGCATCCCATGAAAAAGTAATTTTACCCCTTTGTCTCAGCTGTTCATCACCACAAATCCGTTCATTCTCACATGTATTGGTCATCCGGCTCCCATGAGCCACCCCATCACCAATGCCACTGGGTCCCCAAGGCTGGTGAGTGTGTGGGCCCCTTTGTCCTGCTGGTGGGGCCAGAAGCCAGCAGAGGTTGGGCCGGACCCCTGGGTGAGACGCCCAAAGGCAAGAGAACTAAGGTCCGAATCGGGACCTGCTACGTGACCTTGCGGCGGCTTGTCCACCGAGGGCTCCGGGCACAGGACGGCAGGGGGTGCTGGAGCTGCCTCTTCCCCGCACCCTCATGGTCCTTGTAGACACCAATGCCAAGGCTCCGGGCCACGCCTGCCCGGCATCCCTGTTTGCCTGTTGCCCTGCTGTGGTGCCCGTTCGGGTGTGCACCGCCACCTGTACAGCCCTCCAGCTGCAAGCAGCTGACCCCCAGACCTCCCAGAACCCTCCTCTCCCATCAGCCTAATAGTAATTCTAGCTCCTTCTTCAAAGATTTGCTGGGGAAGCCAAGTCTACGCCAACCAGCACATCACAACTTCTCTAGACAAAGGGCATCGCCAAGCCCTGATCAAGGCACACCTGATCTCCATCCCACCGCAGACTGTTGTAGCTACTTTGACTTTGGGGCCAGCTCAGAGTGGGATTTCCTGTTCATTACAGCTAGAAGTATCCCGGGGTCCCCAGATTCATCCCAGGCGGGGAGAGGAGCTTCCTCCAGGCTCCAGTGAGCCCACAGCACCACCCCAGCCCTGATCGTCTCACCACGTGTCTGCGTGTCCTTCTGCCACTCTCACTGAGTATTTCTGAGAGCCAGGGCCGCATGTGATTCATGCCTGAGTCCTGGGGAGGGCTGGCCACTGTCCCTCTCGGAACCGAGGACCTGGCGCCCCTGTCACCGCGGACGCCACGGGAAAGCCAAGCACAAAGCACCCTAAAGCACAAGGCTGCCGACCCGGGGGTAATGGACTGCAATGGGAGAACTGTATTTATACTGACTTTTTATAAAACCAAAGAAATTTGGACATTTGAGGGCACTGAGATTCTGAATATTGGGTATTAAGGAATTATTGCTAATTGCTTTAAGCGCAATAATAGCGCTGTGATCATGTTTCTACAGAGGGCTTCACACTGCAGTATTTATGGCTTGTGAGGTCTGGGGGCCGCTTCACGATAATGTGGCAGTAGGTAGGGAAGAGAGGGGGTGAGGGCCTTGGGGGGCAGCTGGGGGTGAGCGGGTGGGGGTGAGGGGTCTTCAGGAAGCAGGTGGCACTTGGCACTTTCCGGAAGCCCCTCTGGGCCCGGGGCTTGGGGTCTGCTCCACCGTAGCTTTCCTGCCATAGCAGCGCCCGCCCCTGCTCTGCCAGTTCCCTCGGCTTCTTTTATTTTTATGGCTGGGGGAAGGGAGAGGGCAGCTCCCCAGGAGTTTCTGGACTCCTGACCCACCAAACCAGTTCTTGCTGCTGGACAGTCACCAGTTCCAACTGCAAATGACCTGCTCTGGGCCCTGCTGTGTCCAGGGTCACGGAAGAGAGACTGCCTGGCCCTCGGCCTGGGTAGGAGCGGGCGCCACAGGAGCCCACATTTCAGCCTCCGGAACTGGGGCCGCACAGCCTCCAGGGCACGGGGAGGCTGAAGGCACTGCACCCCTTCCTGGCACTCGGCACGAAGGACAGTGTTTGGTTCTCCCAGTGACCCGTGAGTAGGAAAAACACTGTCCATGCTTTACAGACGGGGAGACCAAGCCGCAGACTGTTCTCAGCAGCATGACCCCCAGCCTCCCAGCGGGCCAGCCGGCCGCCTGGACGGGCATTGCTGCCGCTCTTCTGCTTCACCGAAGCCACATCCTCGTGTGCCCGCACGGGCGCGGCCTGGAGCCGCTTGTTAGCCAGATGCCCTGGGATGTTTAGTATCCAGACCCTAAAACACCTCGCGGAGGTCACATGTCAATGACTCAGTGGCAGTGTCCACGTCAATTCCCACATCCTTCACCCCAGCCCCGCCTGTCAATTATCCCCGCCACGCACGGACTCCCAGAATGGCCCATTTTTTCCCTCTCTGTGACCTCAGCTCGAGCATCCTTCCCTGCCTACCTCCGGCCCATCTTCCAGCTCACAGGTCACCTCCTCCAGGAGGCCCTCCCTGCTCTCCCACAAGCCTCTGGCTTCCCCCTCTGTCCACAAAGACCAGATTCCATGTCCCCTGTGGGTGGAGACTGGGGGGTCACTGTCCAGGCTCAGGCGGGGTGCCCCACATCCCTCGCCACCCCCACACCGGGTGCTGGTTTGAGGACAGGTTGCCCCGGCATCCGAGGGGCTCACAAACAGGTTGCTCAGTCTGCCAGCGCGGACACCTGCTGGCGGGCCCCACGTCCAGGCTTAGGTTAAACTGTGGGTTCTCACCTGAGCAAACACCCACGCGCACAGCCAAGTGGAAGCCAACACAGAGCTCCCCAGAACCAACACGGAGCCCCAAAGTCCGGGAGCCTGACCTTCAGGGCCACCTCCGGGGACATGCAGGGCCGGGACAGGGCTTCTCCCCGCCCCACCAGGCCGGCCCCCTCCTTCTCCCGGGCTTAGCAGCGCCCAGAACTGCGCCTCCCCGGGGCCAGGGGGTGCCAGGGAACCCCGCGGCGGGAGGGGGGGAGGCAAAAGTGAAAGCGGCCAGGGCCCCTCCCCCAAGCCCCAGGCCGGGTGCCGAGGCTGCGCCCCGGCTTTGCTTTGGGGCTGTCAGCTCTCGGGGTCCTTTGGCTGAGCCAGACGGCGCCCCGCGTGCGCCCACCGGGAGGTCCCGGGTCGGCAGGAAGAGGGGCCGCCGGGGGGAGTCTGGGCTGCGGACTCCCCGACACCCCCGTGGGGCCAGAGCGGGGGCGGGGGGGGGGGGGTCGCCGCGAGAGGGCGGGGGGCGGGGCAGGTTGGGAGGACGGGGGAGGGGCGCGGGGCGGGAGAAGTGGGGGGAAAGTGGAGCTTGCGGCGCCCGGGACGGCGCCCCGCCGGGGAGGGGGCCGCGCGGGGACCTGGGGGGCGTCTCCGCTGCAGCCTGCGGCCTCCGCGCCCCATCCTGCGCCCCACGGCCCCGCGCGGGCCCCTTCGGGGGAGACACAGGCCCTTACCTGGCCGCAGCGCCTCACCTGAGCTCCGGGCGGCACACCTGGCCCCGCCCCGGACGTGGCTCCCGGGCAGGCCCCGCCCTCGCCCCACCCCCACCCGCCTCTGTCCCGGCACTGGACGCCCCCGGCCCTCGGGGCTCCCTGGTGGACGGGACGGGGCCGAAGCCCCTGTACTTTGTACCGAGGACCCCCAGAATCCGGCCTGGCCACCCCCCGAGGCCCTTGTCCCTCACAGCACCCTCTGCCCGCCCAGGAGAATCATCCGGGCGTCGACCACCCCCGCTGCCCACAGGGCTGGGCACAGCAGCCTCTGGACATCTGGCTGGGCCTCGTCCCTGCCGCAGTGCCAGGGAGGGAGCCAGGGCATCCTCTCAGCTCCTGCCCTGCCCTGAGTAGGTTCCCCCCTTTCCTCTGGGTGGGGGTGCTGCTTGCTGGCAGTTGGGGGTCGGCTCCCGGGTGCCCATGAGCCGGTGTCCCGCAGAGACACTTGACCCCGTGTACCCTCCCTCGCGTCTCTGGGGGCTCTGACCGCTGGGCCTCACCCCCTGCCTGTGGCCGGTGCAGGTTCCAGGAGTCCCTGGACCTAAGCCAGTTGGCACAGACCCTGATCATTGTGAGCAGCGCGGTGCCTCAGCGGGAGGCTGGACTTTGCCTGCAAGGTTGGGGAAGAGAAAATCCCGCTCTCCTGCTTTCTCCCTGCCCAGTGTGTGAGGAAGCTTAGGGCACCGTGGACACGAGCATCTTGTGACCCCTGAGCGCTGGGCTGAGGGTGGAGCAGAGAGGGCAGGGAACTGAGTCCTTGCCGATACGGCAGGCCCTGGATCAAGCCCTCCCTGAAGCCCACCTCTGGACTTGCTACTTAAATATGCCAATACAGTCTTGTAATGCTTCAACCAGTTTTGAGTTTTCTACTTCTTCAGGCCACCGGTGCGCTCTACGGAATACCCTCACACCTGTGACCCCAACTGCAGCTCCCCGCCCGGCAATGTGGGCGGAAAGAACCCAGGGAAGGCGGCCAAGTGCTGGGACGACCACTCTAGGCGTAGCTGGAGGGAGAGAGCAGAAGTCCATCCTCCCCGAGGTGAAGACACTCAGCTTCGTGCCTTGGAGTCAATAATAACCAGGAACGCGGTGTGTGTGGGTGGGCGTGGGGGGTCGGCCAGTCCCCCAAAGGGCCACTTAGGCTTGTTTGCCTTGGCTTGGGAACTGGAGGCGCAGCAGGTCTGTCTCCACGATTTAAGGAATGCAGATGGTTGCACGCTGAGGTGGGCGGAGGCCCCTGAGGCCTGGAGAAGTGTCCTGAGTCCCTCCTCTGTCCCCAGCGAGGAAGAGGACGTCAGGCCTAGGCTTCATCTAAAGAGCAATCACTGCGACCCGTTTATGGCCCAGAAGAATGCAGCTTGGGGGTCTCATCCAGTTCTAGAATTATCAGTCACCGTGTTCTCTCTCCCTCAGGATCTCATGTTTATGCTCAGCGTGAGGATGAGGTCACCCCTACCTGACCTGTCACGTGAAGGGTCCCGTCTGTCCTCAAAGTCCCGGTCTCTAAAACACAAGATCAACATTCCCGGTCGAGCCCACGTCCTCCAGGATTTACAACCATATACATACCCAGGGCCTCCCTGGTGGTGCAGGGTTAGGACGAGTTCAATCCCTGGCCAGGGAGGTGACCCACAGGGCGCAGCAGACCTCTCCTGACTCCCGCTGCTCCCCTCAGCAGTGGATTTCGTCAGTCTGCCTGTTCTGTTCCCCGCTCTGTCTCTGGTGAATCCTCTCACCCCCCACACCTCTGGCCTATACCCCAGCTCTTGTATGCATAAATAAATAAATAAATCTTAGGGGGAAAAGTCGTTTATATTAAAAAAAAAAAAGAAATCTGTCTGTCTGCTCTGAGTGAACTTTCCAGCCCAGGACACATTTGCAGGGGTTCGGGGAGTCCGTGCTGTCTGCAGGCTCAGCACCCTGGGACGCGAGGCCAGGCGTCCAGGAGCCCCGGGGTGGGCATCCAGGCCTGGCCGCAGCGAAGGCCTGCTCACTGCTGAACTGTCTTCGCTCAGCTCGCTCCAAGAAGGCAACCGGAAACGAAATGCGAAGGGGCGTCTCCAGGGTGCAACGGCCGCGCCCCGCCGCCCCGAGTTCCAGGTCGCCGGCGGTCTGACGGAAGCACACCTTGAAGACTCAGCTCCTGGCTCTGCTTTATGGGTATTTGGCGGGGACAGGCGACCGGACTCCCCGGGACAGCAGGGCCATCCCAGCCCGGCCCCGGGGCGCGGAGGAAGGGTCGGCCGCAGTCCCACCTGCTCCTCAGCCAAGCGGCAGCCTCCGTGCCAAGGACCCGCAACCGCCCCAGCTGGCCCGTCTGTGGCGCAGGGCGGCCCGCGCAGGGCGGCGGCTGCGGCTGTGGTCCCCAAGGCTGAGGCCGGAGAGGCGGGGTGAGCGTGCGGGCCTCGCTTCTCCCACAGGCAGTCCCGGGGCCGATGTCAGAATTTTCAGCGTCGCCAAGGCCTGAGAGCAGCACTCGGCAGGAAATGGACTTCGGGTTCTGAACGAGGCTCTGATGTCCACCTCAGGACAGGCCTCGGGAGGCGGCGCGCGCTGGCCAGCACCGCCTCACGTCAGCCCGACCCTCACCTTCCGGGCAGCCGAGGGGAGCGAGGCGAGCAGGGCTAAGGGAGGCGAGGGACGCGGGCTTGGAAAGGGGCCCCCACTGACTTGGAGCCCCCTGGGCCCTCTCCTGAGAGCTGGGGGTGGAGCTGGGCGGCCAGGGCTGCCTGGCGACGCGGGGGGCGGGGGCTCAGGAGACACGGGGAGCGGCGAGGGCGGAAGGTGCTGGCTTCTCGGCTTTGGACTCGCACCAGGGACTTGGGGGCTGTGGAGGAGGCGCGTGGGGGAGACAGGCAGAGGCCGCGGGGTGGCTGACGGCGGTGACGTTATCTTGACTTGTACCTTGATTTTGCAACTTTGTCCTTGGCCTGCCCGGCCCCTCCCGCGCCCAGCGGCCCGGCTGCGGGTCGGCCCTGTTTGTCCGGGCGGTGACCCTCGAGGGGACGGGCAAGTTGGCATGTTTACTGGGAAACTGTTGTCCTTCTTCTCTCGCTGACACTATCCTAGTAAAGGTCTCTCGGACACTGTTTTTGTGCACATAGATGGCTGGGCCCCAGTAGAGTGTGCACGTTTGGGGGTTCCGGGGTACCCCTCAGTCTGCATCTAGCAGCCTCAATGCAGTTTGGACTTGTGATCTGGTTTTGGGGGACGTGCCCCGTGTGAGCTGAGCAGGAGCTGCTGGGGGGGCAGGGAGGGGCCCGTTTCTGGGTCTGACACATCCCCAAACGTGATGAGGAAACCCAGGGGCGCCCCCTCCTGCGCGCCGACACGCGGCCCGTGGGGTGCCCACCCCTTTGCAGGTCCCTTCTGTTTCCTCAAGCACGTTGTCTGATCAGTCACCCCCTTGCCTCTGTGACAATGCCCCCCTGCCTTTCAAGTGCGTGGCCCTGGAGAAGGACTCACCGTGCAAAATGGGGGCATTACCCCCGCGTTAGTGAGTTTGCTCTTAGTAACGTGTGTGGGGCGGAGCAGCTTCTCCCCCATGCGGCACCTCACTTCACACGGCGGGGGCGGGCCGGGGGTTCATGGTCCCGGGAGAGGTCGGCTTCCCGCGTCTCTTCCCCAAATCAGCTCCCCTGCCCCTGCGGGGCCGCCGCTGGCCTCTGGGCCTTATTAACCCCCGGGACGTGTTTCCCACCGGATGCGAGGGGGTGGCTGGGGCTGCAGGGGTCCTGGAGCCCGTCCTCACCTCCCCCACTTTCCTGCCACTTTGCCAGGCTCCAGGCACAGGCAGTTGACTCTGGGACACCTGCTGTGAGAGTTGACTCTGGGACACCTGCTGTGTGCATGGACATGACCCCCAGGGGGTTGTGGATGCTGGAACTTCAAGGAGCCCCCCCCCCCCATATAGGATGGGGGGCAGAGCTCTTGGGCCTTGAAGGGACCCTACTGACAGTGGCCACTCACCCCCATTCTGGGCCTTAACCCAGGGGTCAGGACGGAGCTGGAGCAGGAGAGGTTCAGGGGTCTCAGCTCCATCAGCCAAGCTGAGCGGCCACGTTCCCTTTGGTTCTCAGCCCAGGGACAGACATTCGCGGGTCCCGGTCCCCAAATTCCATCGCGAGGGGCTGGGGTTGCTCTTGCCCTGCTGGCCACCAGAGTCGTAGGCCTGGGCCAGTAGCTGCACCCCTCCCACCTCACAGCCAACTAAGCTGAGCTCCTCCCATGGCCCCCGAGGCACCCTCGTTGCACCCCCTGGAAGGGAGGCTCCCCGGCAGATCCCCGGCCCCTCCCTCTGGCCACCTGACTCCACGCCCCGCCCTTCCATCTGCCCGCGGGGCTCTCCCCCACCTTCCCAAGACCGGCCACTCTGCAGAGGTGCACGCTCTGATGGAGCAAAACGAGGCCAGGAGTCCCCAAGCGCCCGCCCTTCCCACCCACACCCCCTTGCAGACCACGCTGTCTCCCGAACCTTTCAAAGCAGGGCCAGAGCACCCCTGATGCCATGCTGGCCCGTGGTGACTGCTGGCGCTCAGGAACACTGATGACCACCCCCCCCCCACTCACACACACACACCAGCTACTGGTGGCACAAGGCTCTGGTCATTCCACTGCCCAGCTGCTGCCCACAGGGAGGCGCCGACCACTGAGAGCTGGGGAAAGCCTGCCTGGGGCTGCCACACCGCTCCCCTCCCGGCCTCAAGTGCATCCACTCCTGCTGGTGCACCGGGTCCCCCAGTCCTCCTTCGGGGTCTTGGAGAACCATCGCCGGCCCTGGGAGCTGCCCCCTCCACCAGAGGGGGGTTGTGAGCCTGGGCAGGAGAGCGGACTCAGGAGTGGGGTAGACACGCTTTATTCCTCCCTCTTCCTGTGCCTGCCCCCCCACCCCCCGCAGAAGGTTCTAGAACAGTCAGAGAACAGTCAGGTCCACACAGGAGATGGCGCCATGGCCTGATAATGTGGGGGGGCAGGCTAGTAGGACCCCTCTTGCTGTGGGGGTCGTCCTGGGCCTGGCTGAGCCACTGGGCTCACAGTGTCCGCAGCGTGGACGCCAGGGGCGGGGTGGAGTGAGGACATCCAGTGCGCGCGGGGCGGCCCGTGCGAGGCAGGGGCACTGCCCGCGCCCCAGGTGGAGGGCCGGTGCTTGACCGCTGGGGAGCAGTCGGCTGGTCCAGCAGAGGCCGCAGCATGGCTGAGGGCAGCAGGGAGCGAGAGGCGGAGTGAGGCGTGCCCCCAGCACCCCCTGGCACACGCGGGGCCTCAGACCATGCTCTGCCGGCCCGCGCGGCCCCGGCCAAAGTCAATGAAGATGCCCTCGGAGTCCGAGTCCGCAGACTCCAGCGCCTGGTCCACCAGGTTCTCGGGGCTGCAGGAGAGCAGGGGGCCGTGGGCGGCGCCCGGGCTGGGCGCGGGGGGCTGGGCGGGGGGACACAGTCTGCTGGGGCAGGGCCCCGATGGGCAGGCCCCAGGGGTGCCCTGGCCCGGGGCATCAGCGAGGCCCGGGGCCTCGGGGCAGGACGTCATCTCGGACACCGAGTGCCTGCGGATGCCCGTGCCGCTGGCCGCCGCGCCCTCCGCCTCGTGCTCCGCCACGGGGTTCAGCAGCGGGGTGTTGTAGCTCTTGGAGCGCACCACGGGGTTCTTGGCCAGGATGTCCCCCGAGTGGGAGCGGCGCAGGAAGTGCTTCTCTGCGGGGAGACGGGCGTCACGGGGTGCAGGTCCCGCCCCACGCTCCCGCTGGGCCCGCCCGCTCGCCTTAGGCCAGCCTCCTAGCCGGGGCCGGCGGGGAGCCTCATGCCAACTGCGGGTTCAGGCGTGCACCCTGCAGCCTCCCCACCCCGCGGCACACAGGGGCCACTCCAGTGAGGTCAGGGCTGGGGTTTTATTCTGAGTGCGGTGGGACCCTGGGCTGTGAACAAGGCGCATAACCGGGCAGGTGTCAACCGGCAGCCCACTACGTGGGGAGCGACAGCCGCGGGGAGAGCCGGGAGGACTACTGGGCAGAGGCCCAGGCTGGGTGGGGAACAGGTTTTAGGCTGCCCGGCTCAGGAGCCTGCAGCTCTGGACACTGACCACAAGCTGAGCGTGGCGAGCTGTTCAGGCCTTTCCTGGGACCCGGAGTGCTGGGGCCCCCTTATTCTAGGGGCACGTGAGACCTGGGTGGCCCCAAGTTCTCCAGCTGTCGAGTCCTGCCTGGGCAGTCAGTGCAGACTGTCCTTCCATCTGGCTACTCTTCCAGAGCCTGGCTCCCTTACCCTTCAGTTCTGGCACCTCTGGGAGGCCTTTGCTGATTTGCCTGCCCTCCACCCACGTCACCCCGCCACACAGGACATCTCTGGGGTTCTTTGCCCATTGGTCTGCCTCTGCTGGTGGTTTGGAGTCCCTGAGGATGGGGCTCAGTCTCTGCTGAACCCCCAGCACCAAGAACAGGGGCTGGCACAATAGGTGCTTGACTGGCACAGCAAATGAGCCCAGGGGCACGGTGGGTGGCTCCTGCAATGCACCAGCTGTCCCGAGATGCCCAATCTGCCTGCTCCCCAAGTGCATCCTCCGTGCACCCCGAGCTCCTGAGTTAGTCAGGGTGTCTGGACTCTGGGTCTCACACATGCTGTGCTTGCTGGTTAACCTGACTTTCAGGCCTGAGCAGAGATGTGGCCTCCTGGGAAGGCAGAGGTCCCTGTGGGGCTCTCAGGGGTCACCACGTCACTTAGTGTCAGCCTGTCATCAGGTCCCCTCAGGCCGTGGAAAGACCCCAATGACCTGGTGTCCAGCACATTCAGGGGGGTGGGGGATGCAGGGTCTGCAACACGCAGGGCCCTGGTTCTGCCTGATTGTCCACTAAGGAGGCTGGGGTCCACGAGCAGAGGGGGACCTGGCCAAGGGTCAGCCCGCTCCCCGCCCAGGGCCCAGGCGCTGACCCCTACCCAGGATGCAGGAGTGTGTGAAGGGGCCCTCGCTGGAGTAGAGGCCGTAGGTGCCCAGATAGGGCGACACCACCTTCTGCACCAGAGTCTCCAGACGCAGGTAGTCCTTGGTCACACCCCTGGATTCGTGTACTCCCTGCAAGAAGAGGGGGGTCACGTGCCGGCACCCACTCTGCCTGCCTGCTAGCCAGCCCCCCTCCATCCCCACCGTGACTCCCTTCCTGCCTTCTGCAGCTAGGGCCCCCCGCTTCGGCACCATCACAGCTGCCACTGCACGTGGCACCGCTGTGCTCTGGGAGACAGTGGCGCCCGTGGAAAGGGCTCCGGGGCTGCATTAGGCGAGACGTCCTGGTCCTCGCAGGAGAACCCCACATGAGGTTCGCCAGTCCTGGGGGCCACACTCATTTGCCCATGGCCCCCACACTCACTCCCTTGTCCTGGGGGGCACCGTAGCAGAAAAGACTACCCGGGCCTAGGTCCACGTGCATGCGGAGCCGCAAAGGTCCATGCAACGGCCAGACGCCCTCCCTGCACCTGCTGCGCGCGTCCCTTGCCAGGCCTCGTTCACCCCCAACCCACCCCCCTCGCCTCCCCTGCCCAGTGCGCCGAAGGGATCCCGGCCTCCTCCAGGTTCTTCCGGATGAAGTTTGAGGAATGCAGCTGTCCACGGGCCAGCGCGGCCGTGCTCGCTTGGCTGCCAGCTGACCGAGGGCCAGCGCTGTCCCGTACCGCCCTGGCGTGGGGCTAGCCCGCCACCGGCCCGAGCGAGTGCGGGTGGAGGCGTGATGACACCCGAGAGGCTGTCACCTGGGTAAGGACAAGACACAGGTGGGTCGAATAACAGTTCAAGACAGCAAGAGAAGCCGACTCCACGCTGCCCACGAGGAAGTGACTTCAAATACGAAGAAGCCACACTCAAAGGGAAGCGGCGGGGACACGCCAAGAGAACGCCGATCAGAAAGAGCAGGGCAGCTGCGTGATTTCAAACCGACCTCGGACCCAGGGCAGTTATCAGGGGTCAAGAGAAGGATGAGGGGGGACTTCTTAGGTCCGGCAAGACGGGACAGTCCTCGGCACACGTCTAACCACAGCGCACTGAACCCTCAGAGGCAAAACCAGAGCTGCGAGGAGAGAGCTTGGCCCTGGTCACAGCGGGAGGCCTCCACACCCCCGGGGATTCAGCAGAAGATCCAGAGTGCCCGCGCTCTCTCCTCGCCCCTGCATGGACAGCCCCCTCCAAGGACAGCTGACCCGCCTCGCGCTCCAGGCAGCCCGCTGTGGGGTGTAAAACAGACCTCAGCAAATGAAAGGCCTAGAAAGCAAGCGCAGTCTGCTCCGGCCAGGATGGAATCGCAGCAGAAACCAAGAACAGAAAGGGAACTAGGAAACGCCCCGCAACAGAGATTAAACAAGGGACTCCCCGGTGCCCCTGGGTCGCAGAAGGAACTCTCGAGAAAGACGGATGGATACTGAACGGCGTGCGAGCAGGAAGACAACCTGTCAAAATGTGTGGGCGGCGTCGAAAGCAGAGCTTAGCCAGACAGGGAACGCCGATGCACACGGCGCGCACGGCGATCACGCGAGACTGGAAGGAAAGCACATTAAGTCCAAAGTAGGTAGAAGAAATAATAAGAATCAGAGCCGCCACTGTTGACACTGACAACAAGAAATCCAAAGAAAAATCAATCCAAACCAAAATTTGTGGGGTGCAGGGAAGGCAGAGCTTTGAGGGGCAAAAACAAAAGCCAGGTCTTCGAAAACATCGGAGAGAGCGACGCGCCTCTAGCAGGACGACGATGAGAGAAGGCAGACGCGGCGTCCCCCCAGACGCGGGCCTGTGGCCCCAGCGTCCCCCCAGCCGCACAGAAAACACGCAGGACCCCACGAGCCGTCTCCGTCCCCAGCAGCAGTGGCAGGCACGGGCGCCCGTCTGTCTCACCACTGGCTGGTGAAGGGGTGTCTGCTGCCCACGCACGGGGAGGGGCAGGGCCCCGGGCACACACTCACATGCAGGACTTTACCCCACTTCTGGGACCCCCTTTACCCCACTTCTGTGTTCCCACTTCGGGGAACACAGTCAGCCGCAACAGACACTAGCCAGCTGCTGCCACCTCAGATGTAGCTGGGTCAGAAACAGTGGGGCCAAGTTCATAGGGGCTGGGACAGGTCATGGAGGCCACACGGCCGGGCGGGGGTGGTACCTGCAGGTGGGGGGTGGTACCTGCGGGCTGGGGTGGTACCTGCGGGCGGGGGTGGTACCTGCAGGTGGGGGGTGGTACCTGCGGGCGGGGGTGGTACCTGCGGGCAGGGGTGGTTTGGTACCTGCGGGCGGGGGTGGTACCTGCAGGTGGGGGGTGGTACCTGCGGGCGGGGGTGGTATCTGAGCAGCAGGACGACAGGAAGCTGCAGGAGGCACAGCGACCACCAGGGGGCAGCACCACCCCAGCTGACAGCCACGCTCCCAGCCCGGCGCTCTCGGGGAGACAGTCTGGGCTCTCAGCCCCGCAGGCCAGACAGAGCAGGTGTGAGGCCAGTGAGGCCCCGAGGACAACTCTGGCCCACGCCACTCCTGTGGGCCCTGGCCGAGGGCAGCCCTGCCCCTCCTCTGCACCCGCCCTTACAGCTATCCCAGGGTGCGCCCCTCAATCACAGCTCATCCCGGGCTGCTCTGGGGGTCTGGTCTGCGACCAGCCTCTGCCCGAGCCCAGCCTTGCTCCCTCGGGTGCTGACGCAGGTACGTGGGGACACCCACCTGCAGCACCAGCAGCATCTGCACGATGGCGGGGGGCACGCGGGCGTGGGCGCGGGCCAGCGCGTCCTCCAGCTTCACGCTGAGCGCGATGGTGTTCCGGAAGTGCAGCAGCGCCAGCTGGCGCACGGAAGGCTCCTTGCCCTGCGGACACCCGAGGCTGGGCCCACCCTGCCACCATTACGGAGGCTCGGCTCCCCCAGCCCCACTTCCCTGGGCCACTCAGGGAAGTGACCCTCGGGCCCACGGGGCCCCACCCATCCTCTGCCTCTCGGTGACCTTTGTCCCAAGGAGAGGGCCCCATGCATTTCTCACACGAGGAAAGGAGTCCTGCCACCCAGTGAGACCTACTAGGCGTGGGGCAGACCTACTGCGTGCCACTCAGGTTTACAGAGCCCTCGGGAGGGGCTCATTCCACCTTGTGGGGCTGAGGCATGTGCCCGGGCGGGACCACAGGGAGGCTGTGCGGGCAGCGGCGGCTCACCTGCACGGGGTAGAAGATGGCCTGCAGCGTGGGCAGCACATCGCTGAAGAAGAAATCCCAAGTCTCCGCCAGAGAGTCTAGCAGCTTCTGTCCTGTGGGCGCAGGGAGCGGTCACTACCCTTCCCCAGGGGCCCCCAGGGCAGACAGGATGGAATACAGAGCTCTTCCCTGTCCGGCTGTCCTGACCTCCTGACCGAAGGCGGAGGCATCCAATCTCTGGCCATCTGTCCATCCACCGCCCTCCCCGCCCCTCCCCCCATCCGCCTGTTTGTCCAGCTGACATTTTCAGGGCAGTGGTGCCGGGATGCAACCAATGAAGCTGTCCGCCTGTCTGCAGAGACAGGCCTGCTCTGCAGCATGAGTTCAAACCCCTGGCCAGGGAGCAACCCACATGGCGCAGCAGACCTCTCCTGCCTCTCCCGCTGCTCCCCTCAGCAGTGGGTTTCAGTCAGTCTGCCTGTTCTGCTCCCCACTCTGTCTCTGGGGAACCCTCTCACCCCCTGCACCTCTGGCCTGTACCCCAGCTCCTGTATGCATAAATAAATCTTTAGAAAAAGGAATGGTGCCGGCCTGACACTGGGGACCCAGCTGAGTGCTCAGCCCCACGGCACGAGCTCAACAACATAGGACCAGGGTGGGGGTGACCTCCAATGGGTGGATGAAGGGGCTGAGCCTCCCACAGATTCAGTTTCCCCAGAATCCTGGACACCCAGGCTGCCCGAGGTGGGTTCTCGGGAGCCCAGAGCCCACGTCTACCAGCAGCAACATGTCCCAGATAGAGGGGAGGCAAGGTCAAGCGGCAGGAGGGCTTCCTGGAGGAGGTGCTATCCAAGCTGACGTGGGAGGAAGGTTTGCCAGGTTGATCAACATTCTGGTGTGTGAACACGCAAGTGGGTCTGTGGAAAACTGGCACTAGGAGAAGCTGAGACCTGGGGACGGGCCGGTGCCCCCGAGTGTGGCTAACCCCCAGGGAGGCGGGACACCGGAGGTGCCCCAAGCTGCCTCTGGTTTCCCTAGGAAACGCAGAGCTGAACGTGCGGGAAGCTGGCCTGGGAGGCTGCCGGGGCCGGGAGAGGCAGGCCCTGGGACGTGGCGCCCAGGCCCCTGCAGCCTGAGGGGCCCCGGCCGGGAGACAGGCCAGTCTGGAGAAAAACGGGTGTGGTGGGTGCCTCCAGCGAGGCCGGCCTCTCAGGCCACGAGCCAGGCAGGTCTGACCACCTCGAGGTTTCCATGGGAACGAGGCCGCCCAAGGGCCTCCGACTCTTTCCCCTGCTTTCCTTGGCTCTGGGCCCCACCCCCCAGGTCCCCAGGTCGTGCAGGCGGGTGGGCCCGGGAGGGAGCCAAGTGGGGGCAGCCCGGCCAGCGGGGAGAGGGCCCGGTCTCCCGGCTATCTGTCTGCTGGCGGGGGGCTCCCTGGCTGGTCAGCTCCGGAGGCCCCCGGAGCCCGTGTGCCCTCCTGGGCCGGCCGGTGCTCACCGCCCCGGGGCTCGGCCCGCACACAGAGGTCCCTTCGGGCCCAGCTGTCGCGGCAGAAGAAAGGCGGCTCAGTTCCTGGGCCGGCGGGGCCTCGGGGCTCTGGGTGGAGGCCAGGCGGTGACCACGGAGCGCGGGCTGCCCTCCAGCCACGGGGCGGAGACACGGCGGGAGCAGACGGACAGTCCAGGCCCCGCCAGGGCGGCCGCTGCCCGGAGGTCTCGCCCTGCGGGGCTCTCTCCTGGGGACTGTGGTCTGCGGGTGCCAGCGGGGGCGAGGTGGGGCTGGATTGAAGACCCGCTTGGCATGGGCCTGGTACCCCAGGGGGCCCCCTCACACCGGCCTTGGTGCGGTCCTCTGCGGAGGGCGCGTGGTGGACGCCACACTCCAGCCATGCTGGAGGCCATGCTGCAAGCACCGGGCCAGGCCTAGCTGCTGGGGGGCCGACTCATCATGCTCCCCAAAGCTCAGCGAGGCCCAGGCAGCCCCAGGCTGTCTCCCCCGTCAGGACGGAGTCCATCCGTCTTAGTCTGTCCGAGGACGCTGAGGGCGGCTGTGGCCCGGAGCTGCCGGAACCAGCCCTCACGGGGGCGGCCGGGCCAGCAACAGCTGCAGGGCAGCAGGGAAGGGAGCGGGTCTCTGGGGAGGTGAGGGGGCGAGGACGCCGGGTGGCGCCTGCCAGGGGCCGGAGGCGAGCAGGGCACCGGGTTCTGGAAGGACGCGTGTGCGGCCGGAGCCCACAGGAGGGCCTGGCCCTACCTCAGTCTCCAGTGTCGGCCGCGGGGTGTCCGGCCTGGCTGCGGCGGAGCCCCTCCCGCCTGCCGCTGCTGAGACACCAAACCACCACCCGGACCGCGTCCCGGGGAGGGGGTCCCCAGACAGTCCATCCCGGGCCTGGAGCCAACCCCAGGGGCAGCCTCAAGGAGGCGCGGCCCCTGGGAACCAAGCAAGACAGGGGCATCGGCTGCTGTCCCCACTCCGGGGGTCGGCAGGGCTGGGCCAGGTCTCCTTCATCTCCAGGTCCTAGAGGTGCCTGGGGTCTGAGGGGCACAAGGCACATGGATGGAGCCAACTCACCCCAAAGCCAAGAGGGGGGCACTGAGGCCAGAGGAAAGGGCGTGTGTGGCTGAGCGGGCTGGGGGCTGGGCCTTCTGGCTCCCAGCCTGGGACTCCGTGTCTGTCCTGAGCCCGGGCAGCTGGACGTGGCTGGCGCTCCCCGCGGGGGGCCTGCAGACATGGCTGCTGTGGGCAGGGCCCCTCGAGCCGCACAAAGCTGCTGTTCTCTGCGCCCAGCTCCCCTAGGCAGGAGCTGGTGGGAGGCACAGGCACTGCCGGAATGTGCAAGTCAGAGCCGTGTGTGGGAGGCGTCTCCACCGGTGCCAAGCCCTGCCTGCCGTCCTGCCAGCTGGGGTGCTGCCTCCTCCAGGAAGCCAGCCCAGATCTCCTTGGCCAGCAAGTTGGGGGCAGACAGTCTCCCCAGCAAGGTGCCCTCCAGTCTGTTCTCAGCCCACTGCTCTCAAGGATGGTTCCTGCCCCTTCCACGCTCTGCTCACCAGGAGGGCCCCACCCTGGGGTGCAGGCAAGGCTGGTGGCGCCCGGTTTCCAGCAGGCACACCAGTGGAGCCGCTGTCCACGGACCTGCCGTGGAGTCCGGCTACCAGGCCAGCAGGCACCGTGGGCCAGCCAGGGTCAGTCACGGCGGCCACACTCACCCTCGTAGAAGCGGATCTTGTCCCGAAGGATCACCATGCCTTTGGTCAGCAGCTGGTTCTGCAAGGGAACCAAGACCCTGTCCCTGCTCTGGGGGCGCCCTGGGGTCCCAGCGGGCCTGGGCCCCAGGAGTCCTCCAGCAGGGAGCTAGGGCCCTGAGGGGAGGGACTTCTGGCATTTCACAGCCCCCCAGGGGACCTGGGCCGCAGCCTGGCCTGGATCCCACCAAGATGGGCGGTGGCTGTGGGGACGGCCTTCACACCCCATGATGAGAGGGGCGCCAGAGCGGGGGGGCCAGAATCCTGATAGCCTGGCACGTGAGCTGCCAGCAGTGGAGCCAAAGTGCAGGGACCCTGGAGCAGGGGCGTCCGGGCAAGCAGAGGCTCATGGGGCCCCAGCACATTTGCAACAGCCAGAGGGTGGGACACCCCATCTGTCGGACATCCCCGACAGATGCCCAGCAAGCAAAACAGCGTGTCTCCATGCAATGCAGCACCGCCCGCGGTCAAAGGGAGCGGGAGACCCCCGAAGACACAGGTCCGAGCGAGGAGCCGACACCCACGGCTCCAGTGGGAGACCCCGAGGCCGCGCGGAGGAGAGTCCGGGCCGTGGGGAGGGGCGCGGGCTTTCTGGGGCGATGAGAAGTCCTGGGGTTGGACTCGGTGATGCGTGAGCTTGGGATGGGCCCCGCGTGCGTGCCGTGAGCTGGAGGTACCGCTCCGCCAGCTGCTGCGTCAACAGCGACCCTCGGCCCCCGACACAGGAGGCTGCGGCCCGGGGTCCCAGCCCCCAGCCCCAGGCCCCGTGCGAGAGTGCACGCGGGCTCAGAGACACCAACACCAGCGCCACGTGCAGGGCTGTGTCCGGGGCCCGCCCCGAGGCCCCGGGAGGAAGGGACACCTAATCTCAACACTGACCCCCGAGACCCGCCATGTGCAGACCCACCCGCGGCCGGCCATTTCAGCACCATGATGATCGCAGCCGGGCAGAGGGGGAAACCGAGGCATGGTGAGGCGGAGCCTAGCTCCATCCACCCAGGAGGGTGGGCGGCCAGCGATGCTACCTGGCCGGTCCGGGAGGCAGTCCTGGCCCCGAGAGAGGAGACCACCCACCTGCAGGTACTCGGTGAAGAAGGACCCCAGCTCCGTCTTCAGCAGCTGCCTGTGGGCAGGAGGGGCAGAGTCAGGATCGGCTCACGGGGGCCCGGGGCTGGGCGGGGCTGCCTGGGCAGGGCGGGTGAGGCTTGGCCCTGGGGTGGTGCTCAGTTCAGCTCACCAGGGCCCCAGCATTTTACCCCATTTTACCCCAGCAGCCGAGGGACCCGGGGGCAAAGCCAGGGCAGTCGCACACCTGCTCGAGGCAGCCCCCGCAGGACTGGGCGTCCACACCTGGCTCCTCCTTCGTCCACCTGTGAAGCCCCAGCCCTGGCCCACGTGTCCCCTCCCCTGCCAGCCCCTCCCCCCTTCACCCCAGGGTTTATTCCGCCTCCACCAACCCGAGGCTGGCATTCGCTGGGCCCCGTACTGCTGGCAACAGAGGCTCAGAGAAGCCCAGCGATTTGTCCAAGGCCACAGAGGACGCGCAGGCCAGCAGCTGAGCCCTCCGTGCACACCCCCGGGGCTGAGAGAGCGGGTGTCACCGTCCGCCGGCCACATCCCGAAGGCGCTCTAGCACTGCCGCCCTCGCCGCTCAGCCGCCCCCGACGGCTCCCGGCTGCTGTCCCCGTCGGGAGAGCTGCATGGCCCATCCTGACCTGCAGGCAGCGGCACTGCTCCCGGGCCTGCTGTCCTGCATCTCGGTGACCGGGTTTAACCGAGTAACACCCCCGTCCCAGCACAGCGCCAGCTTCAGCCACCGGGGGTGAGTCGGCAGGAACCCCCGCCGGTGCTGCGAGGATTGAGCCGGCAATGCTGAGGGCTCGGGGAAGCTGGGCCCCACAGCAGTCGTGGGCAGCAGCTGGTTGGCACCACACCCAGCAAGCCCCAGCTCGGCCGCATGAGCTGCCCCCGCAGCCAGGTCCACACCCAAGGGAGAGAAGACTCATCCACACGAGCCCATGCCCACGGACACCCCTGCGGCACCCCTCAGAGCCCGGGGGCAGAACAGCCACAAGCCCATCCATCCGCGCATGCCACCCAGGAATACTACTTGGCCCAGAAGAGGAATGACGTGCGGCTGCCTGCTCAGCAGGACAAGCCTGCAGAGGCAGACCAGGACAGGAGGGCCGGGGGGGTGAGGGGGTGCCTGTAAACGGCACAGGACTCTCTTGGGGGATGACACTGTTCTGGAATGGCAGTGCTGGCTGTCGATGCTGAAAACCGTGGCGCCCCAGGTCCTAAAAGGCTGAGGGGAAGCATGAAGGCCACCGAGTCCCGTTGCTGTTCACGGCCCGGGGTCCCCTCCCAAGCCACAGTAAGCACCTCAAGAACCGAGGGGAGATTTGGGTTAAGGTGTGATGAATCGAAGGTTCCAGGCTCAAGGCTCCCCTGGGGGACCAAAGCTGGTGGGCGATCCTGGATTGAACACATAAGTTTACTTATTTAATCGGCCCCGTGAAGGAGAGAGCCGGGTCGGGGTGGGTGGGGCAGTCGTGGGGGGCCTGCGGGCCCCAGAGGCAGGGCTCCAGGCCCAGCTCCCTGACCAGCCCTGGGGCCCCGGGCAGCCCAGGCCGCCGAGCCTCAGTTTCCTCCTCTCGAAGCAGAGACGAGGTGTGTACCCCCTGGGGCTGCGGGGCAGAGGGGATGGCGCGGGGGGCTCGGGCGTGAGGCTGCCCAGGACACGGCCTCCATCGAAGGCCCTTAACAATTCCCGGCACTGGGTTTTAATGGGCGAGAAAGAAGTTGCCCCGGTGGCCTCCCTGTCCGGGGGCTCGGGGGCCGTCCCCGACTCTGCCGTTTCCTGGGGTGAGAACCGCGGAGGTGACGGCACGGGGCAGCTTCTCCGCCCCCCTCCCCGCCCCCAGCCCACTCCCGAGGGGGCGAGCCCCCCAGGACAGGCGTGGGCTGCAGCCCTGGCGGTCGCCACCGAGGGGGCTGGGCTGGCTGTTCCGCTCAACTATTTAGAAACATTTCCCTCTGGTGTTTACACACGCGGCGGACGCTGTGGGCTCAACCAGCTCACGCCTCCCTGAGCAGAGGCCACTGTGGACGGTCACCTGGGTCGCAGCCGGCCTCAGCGCCTCCCTGGGCGTCCTGGGCCCTCTGAAGCAGAGCAGGCCACAGGGGGCCGCAGGGCGGGCAGCCTCCTGGCAGCAGCTGTGTGACCCTGGCGAGTCTCGACCTGAGGTCCGGCCTCCACAGTAACCCAGGTCGGGGCGCTGGCCCTGCAGATCCCCAGGAGGCCCCAGACGGGGTGCGGGTGGGCCTGGCCCCTCCAGGCTTTCACAGGAAATGGGGGTGTTCGGCCGCACTCTAATTGCTTTTCTGGGAACAAAACTCCCCTAAGCAGGCAGGTGGGTCGTTCCCCTTGAGCGGAATAAACGTCCTTCTCTGGACGGCGGGGAATGTGGGCATCATGGCCAGCCGCTGTCTGAGCCCCACCCAAGTTCCCCCGGAGGTGTCTTCAGGAGGGGTGGGGTGCAGGCCGCCAGGCCCGAGAGCCAGGGAGCTGTGGCTGGCTCTAAGGACACAATCCCAAGGGAGGCCAGCGGACCCCCAAAGCCCCCTTCCTGCCCCATGGAAGCCCAGGGCAGAGGCCACTCACCGGACACCTTCGTTGAGGCTGAAAAGCTCCTGGTCCGGCAGCCCCTTGCGCTGGAAGACGGCGATCACCCCGTTGTGGATGCTGTGGGGGAAAGAGCCGCGTTGCCCCGAGGCCGAGGCCCCTCCCCGCCTCCCTGTGCCCGGGCACGGGCAGCAGCAGCAGTGGGCTGGGCCGGGCCGGGCAAACCCCGTGCCCTCGGAGTTACTGTTCCCGCCCTGACCCCCCATCCTGCCCCCGAAGCCCCGGGCCTGAGCCAGGGAACGAGGGAGCACCTCCTGGCCACTTGTGCGGTGACCCTGACCCGTCATTCTCCTCCCTCCCCATGTTCTTGACCCCTCCATGCCCGGGACAGGAATCAGGGGGACCCTCTGATGGCCCCTCCCAGTCCCAGCATATCCAAGTCTGGCTGGCTCTCTTCCTCTGGGCTCGAGGTGCCCCTAAGCTGGCCAGTGGGCCCCGGCTCCGTGTCCCCTGCAGCCAGCCGGCCAGGGAGCCCCTCCTGCCACAGGGCCTTAGCACGGCCCTCGCCCAGCCCCCGCCTCCCTCCCCGCAGGGCACAGGTGTGGCCGCCTCCACAGCCCTTGACAGCGCGTAGGCTCCAGGGCTAAGCCCCCTCCTGCTCAGAGGGCAGGCTGCACCCATGGGGCAAGAAGTCACCCAGGAGCCTCGCACCCTCCTAACGCACTGCTGCCCAGGCCGTCTGTCCCGGCTGTCTGTCCCGACTGCAGCCGAGCCTCCCAGCCTGAGTCACCTTCCTGCCCCCACAGGCCCTGGCCTCAGGCTCCTAGACAGGGTCCGCCCTCTCCTCCCCCACCCCTTCCAACTCTGACCTCATGGGTGCGGGAGGCAGGGCGGGGACCACCCTCTGGGTCTCACCACTGCCCCTTGACCTGGAAGCCTCCGTCCCGGCTACTAGAAAGCAACTATTTGCCTGGGCGCCTCTGCCACCGCCTCCCAGGGGCCCTCCCGGCCCCTCCCTTCCCGCAGAGGCCCCAGTCCCCGGCCTTGGCTGATTCACTTTCCCGAAAGTCCCCCACCAGCCGCTGGGTCCCAAGGGTGAGCTCCAGGTCTGGACCTGCCCAGGTGAGTGAGAACCAGCCCCGCCCAGAAGTCAGCACTGGCTTCTCGGCGGCTCTGGCCGTGACCAGGCTGGACACCTGTCCCGAGCCGGCGCCCGGTGACGCGGGTCCTGGCCTTGGGGGGCTGTGTGTTCTGTGTGCTGCCTCCTGCCTGTGGAACGGGTTTCTGGGGCGCTCCCGCCAGGGGGCTGTCAGGACCACGCCTGGCTGGGTCGAGGTGGTCATGCCCCCCCCCCCCCCCCCCCCCCCCCCCCCGTGCAGGGGCCTGGCCAGCCCCGGCCCTCGCTGTGTCACAGGCTGTTTTTCATCGAGGCTAAAAAAAGATCCCACTCGACGGGAGGGCAGCGCGCCAGGAGGGCAGCTGTTCACAGCAGCCTGGGATCCCAGCAGCTGGGAGCTCACCAGCCCAGTGTGGGGGCGCGGCCCCACCCCTGCTCCGTGCCGGGCCTGACCTGCCTCGGTGCTGGACCTTCTCGGTGGGGGCACCGAGGCCCGAGGGGACGGGAGTGGGGCGGGGAGCGTCCGCTCAGTGCCGGGCACCAGCCCTGGGCCCGTCCTTCTCCCTCCGGATCCCTTCAGCTTACGGAACGGGAAACTGAGCCAGAGCAGGGACTGGAGCAGGACCCCCTCTGATGTCAGGGTGCGGGGACGGAAGCCGGGTCTAACCTGAGGCCACTGCCCCGGGCTCCCGTGTTCATGGCCGTGGGGCGGGTGGAAGGCGGGTATAGCTGCCCACCTCGTGGCCGGTCCCTGGGCCCCACCCGCACGCACCTGATCTTCTGCAGTGCTGGGCAGCCCGTCCTGCAGACAGCGGTGCCCCCCAGAAGCACTTCCAGCCTCAGAGCGGAAGAAAACTCGGGCTGGCTTGAGGCCGTGAAGCTGGTGCTGGTGTGTTCCAGCCGCCACAGGAGCCGAGGCCCTGGACACCCTCCCTCCCTCCCTCCCGCCTGAGCCTGGGCAACCTCTTCTCCCTGTCTCGGGGCTGCGTGGCAGCCCCCATCCCCGTGCACCGTCCAGGCGGGCTCTGAAGCCCCGGCAGCTGCGGAGACGGGGGCACCCTCCCGGCCGGCGCTGCCCCATGGTCAGGTGAGCCTTTGGAGGAGAACCCGAGCGCCCGCCAGGTGCCTCGCTGAGCAGGAGCCTCCCGAGGGGCGCCAGCTGGGCTGGAACCAGGCTGAGCGATACCTGTTCCGTGAGGAGCAGGTGAACCTGCTTTCCAGAGGATCAGATAAGGCCCGGAGGGGAGCAAGGTGGGGTGCTGAGGCGTCCCTGCCCCCTCCCCTGGGCAGGATAGCTGCGTGGACACTGAGAGACTGGCGCAGAGTCAGGGGTGCTCCCGCTTCATCTCAGAGGGCTCAGCGTGACCCCAGGAGTACAGATGCGGACCTTGGGGCCCTGGTCACCCTGGATGTGCGCAGGATCAAGCTCCCCGCTGAGTCAGGAGGGGCGCAGGGGCTCAGGGAGCTCCTTCTGAAGGTTCTAGCTCACGCTCTGCACAGCCGGCCCGGCAGCCCCCAGACGTTCCCTGCACACCTTGATCAACACGGGGCGGCCGGGGAGGGGGTCAGCCCTGCCACAGGCTCATCTTCCAATACTGAACCCTGGGAGGACCCCATCCTCTGCCTGTGCCTTCCCTCCTGCCTCCCTCCTCCAGCTCCGGGCTCCGGTGGCCGGGAGGGGGGCCGGCCCAGCGCCGGGAAGCGAGTGAAGGAAAGAGTGGCTGAGGGAGCCAGCGGATTCCACTCTCAGGAGAGCAGGCCAGGGGTTCCTGCCCCGCCCATAGCAGAGGTGGAATTTAGGAGGGTGCTAGGGCCAGTCAGTGTCCCCCAGAAAGTCACATCTCCCCAAACTTCGGACCTTATTTGGAAACAGGGTCTTTGCAGATGCAATTAGTTCAGGCTCTGGAGGCGAAATATCCTGGATTTGGGGTGGCCCCTGGGATCTTTATAAAAGGAGCGTGACAGGGGCTTCCCTGGTGGCGCAGCGGGTTGAGCGCCGGGCTGTGAAGCAGTTTGCGGCCTCTGCAGCACGAGCTCAATCCTGGCCGGCCGCGGAGCTACCCACATGGCGCGGCAGACTGCTCCTGCTCCCCGCTGCTCCCCTCAGCAGTGTGTTTCAGCCTGTCTGCCTGTTCTGTTCCCCACTTTGTTTCTGGTGAATCCTCTCACCCTCCCACGCATCTGGCCCGTACCCCGGTTCTTGTATAAATCTATAAAAAAAATAAAAAAAATAAAAGGAGCGGGACATCTGGACACAGGCACAGTGAAGCCACATGAAAGTGGAGGCAGAGACTGGGCCACCGGCCACAGCCCAGGAGCCCCCAGAGAGGCAGGAGCACCCCCTGAGAGCCCCAGAGGGAGTGTGGCCCAGGCGGGGGCGGGACTGTCATCTTTTGGCCTGAAGGACCACGAGAGGCCACCAAGCTTGTGGCATTTTAATACAGCAGCGTGGGAAACTAAGGAGGTCACGCACAAAACGGGGTGCATTCTGAACTCAAAGGGAAGAGTCCAGAGCTCAGCAAGCCTGCACACCAGCACGCGGTGCCCCCTACAGGCTGTCTCGGGGGGGGGGGTAGCCCTGGCTGGGGCGCTGCAAGGAGTGATGGGCAGCTGAGACTCCCCCCCCACTGCCCCTGCCACCCCCTGCCACCCCCTGCGCACGCGCACATTCCTCCTCGGGCAGGAGGTGGCCAAGGAGCCGGGCGTGAAGGCGGGGCCGGCACACAGTAGGAGCACAGGAAGCAGCAGTGCCCCTGCTGTCCAGGCGGGAGCTGACCCAGTCCCAGACAGGAGCCTCTCGCCTCGTACCCGTGGGGAGGGGTGAAGAGCCACCGAAGCTCGAAAGTGCCTTTTAGTGAACTTTGAGCAGTTTGCAGGGTGTCTCCTTACAGGCTCCTCCCTGAGCGCCCCAAGACTCTGTCTGCCCCAGGCTACCCCCACCTATGTCTGGAAACCCCAAGCAGCAGCAGACCCCAGCTGGGGGACAAGGGTCCCGCAAAGCTCAGGAGCCAGCAGACTCCTGAGGGGCGCCCCAAGTCCCGTCCCCAGCGGCATGTGGACGTGAACTTGTCCTCCCCGTGGGAGGACCTGCCCGCCTGGGCCCATGGCCGCCGCAGGCTCACGGCTCATCTGCGACCTGGGAAAAACACGCCTGCTGCCCGGAGCCCCAGGCGGCCGCGAGCACCCTGACAAATTCAATACCCGAGCAGCCCGGGGCGGGGAGGGGTGCACCCTTGTCCACCCTTATCCGTTTCACTGAGAGGAAACCGAGGGCCACGAGGGAAGCCACTTGCTCGAGGCCACGCAGCAGCAGAGCCAGGGGCTAAGGGAAGTCTGGGGGCTCCTTCCACTCCGGGGAAGGGGGGGTCTCCTACCTGCTCCACCCTGGGGAGAGGAACACTGAAGACGGCGTGTGGCCAGAGGGTCCACGACACTCCCCAAGGGAAGCCCTTTTTGCCCTTAAGGGGGAGAGCGCGCCCACCGGCAGGCGGGGAAACTGAGGCGCGCAGCCGGCCCCCAGGCGGTGCAGCCTAAGGGGGGCGCAGCCAAGCAGGCGAAAGGCAGGTCCTGTCCAGCATCAGGGAGGCCCGGCCGGCTGCCCCAGCGCCCCACGAGGCCCAGGCGCCCCGCTGGGGCCCCCTGGACAGCGGGTCCCTGGCGGCTGCCCCGAGTGGCGCCCCGGCCAGGTTTCACAGCCAGGTGTGCGCGCGGGGGGCGGGCGCCCCGGCCCCCTCGACAGGCAGCTCCACTCGTCCGCACCCCTACTTTGCTCTTGGGGAGACAGTCTGCTTTCCAAAGGGCCCGGAGCAGCCCCGCTGGGGCCGCCCCCTGAACCCCTCGCTCTTCCCCACCCGGCCCGCTCTGCGGACAGAGCCGGGGGCGGGCGCTCAGGAATGCGGGCAGCAGCCGCGCCCGCGCGCACACGGAGCCGCCGCCCCCGCCGGGCGCGGGAAGGGCCGGGGGCGCGGGGCCGCGCGCTCCGCGAAGTGGGGCGCCCCGCCCGCCGCACGGGCCCGCGAGCGCCCGCGCGGGGCGAGGGGCCCCGGGCACGCCGGCCCCCCGCCACCTCGGGGCGCCGCGCGCGGGAGCCGGAGCCTTACCTGTTCCAGGCGGCGCTGGCGCGGGCCCGGCGCTGCTGCGCGCCCCGCTCGTCCGCGGCCGGCGGCTCCCTCGTGCCCGGGTCGCCGAGGCTGGGCGAACTCATGAACTTGAGCCTGCGGAGGGAGCGCATGGTGGCCGCCCCGGCGCCGCGCCGCCCGGGAGGCCCGCGCGCGGGCAGCGAGCGCAGCGGCCCCGGGCCCCGGCCCGCCCCGCGCCCCGCCCCGCGCCCCGCGCCCGCCGCCCGGCCGGGAGCTCAGCCCCGCGCGGCCGCCGCGTGCAGCCCGACCCGGGCCGGGGGCGGGGCCCAGGCGAGGGGCGTGTGCAGAGGGCGGGGCCTCGGGGCGGGGCCCAGGCGAGGGGCGTGTGCAGAGGGCGGGGCCCAGGCGAGGGGCGTGTGCAGAGGGCGGGGCCCAGGCGTGGGGGTGTGTGCAGAGAGGGCTGGGGGCGGGGCCCAGGCCAGGGGCGCGTGCAGGGGGCGGGGCCTCGGGGGCGTGTGCAGAGGGCGGGGCCTTGGGGGCGCGGCCTCGAGGGCGGGGCCCAAGCGTGGGGGCGAGTGCAGAGGGCGGGGCTCGGGGGCGGGGCCTAGGCGAGGGGCAAGCGCAGAGGACGGGACCTTGGGGGCGGGGCCCAAGCGAGGGCGCGTGCAGAGGGCGGGGCCTCAGGGGCGGGGCCCGTGTACAGAGGGCGGGGCTCAAGCGAGGGCGCGCGCAGAGGGCGGGGTCTCGGGGTGGGGCCCAGGCGAGGGGGCGTGTACAGGGGCGGGGCCTGGAGGGCGGGGCAGGCGCCCCCGGCCCCCCCCCCCCCCTGCTTCCCGGCCGGCCTCAGCGTCCCCGGTCCACCCTCCCGGCTCGCCCTCCGCCCTCCCCGCTCCTCCGGAGGCCACGCGTGCCCAGGACACGTATGCGCACGGGACGCACCGCCACCCCCGCCGTGGCCCACCCGCGCGATGCCAAGCGAACCCTGACACCCCCCGAATCCCATCCACTACGCTTCACCCGGCCGTGGCCTCCTCCTCACCCCTCCCCAAGGCCGCACCCACACAGATCCCCCCGGTGCCGCCGCTGGGACACGGGCACCCCTGTGGGGCTCGTGCACGCCGGGTGGCAGCCTTCAGCCTCCTGGGGTGCCTCTGGCCAGGACCCGACCCCACCCCGGCCCAGCCTGGACCCGGCCACCCTGATGACCCACCTCAGGCCTGGAGGAGTTGCCAGATTAGGAGCCAGGGGAACCCCAAGTGGACTCCCCAGGGCAGAGCCCAGCGAAGTCGTGGTGACCCCCACCCCTCCTCCCCAGCTTCTGGGGTTCAAGAGGCTTCACCCGCCCCTCCAGCACCCAGGACAAGAGGGTGCTGGCCGGCCTTACCCCTGGGCCTCTCCTGAGGTGCTAAGTGTGCTGAGAAGTTCTGGGGTCACCCGCGCCCCGGCCCGCCTGGTCTTACAGATACTCCCAGAGTGAGTCAGTGGGGGAGGGGGAGGGGCTGGTGCTAGAACCCTAAGCTGGGAAGGGCGCCCCAGCCCCTTCCCCCAGGTCATCCACAGGAGGCCACAGAGCCCTGGTCAGGTCTCCAGGGCGTGTACATCTTATCTGACAGCAGAACCAAAGCAGCCCCTGGGAAGGGGTGGGTGGGGCACAGCCAGGGGAGCCGAACTTGCCTGGAGAGGCGTAGGTGGTGTCGACGCGCCCCCCTCAGCCCTGGGGATCTGCACCTCAGCCGGAGGGGCTTTTCTGGAATGAGCCCGGCTGGATGGTTTGCATCCGGAGCCAGGAGAGCACCATCTAAAGCTGGGAGAGCCTCGGGAGGGGGCTCCCCATGGTTCAACCCAGCTGGCATTTCCTGAGCTCCTACTGTGCGCCAGACGTCACCCTCGCCCTAGGGGGGCAGAGTCATTGGGTCAAACTCTCAGGCTCTGAGCTCGCAAGGAAGGCGCCCCCGGCAGTTCCTGGGCTGGCCTGTGACCTGGCAGCGCCCTCCCTGCTGGCGCCCACTCAAGAGGCTGGTGGCCTCCCACCTGGTCAGAAACACCTGTCTGTTCCTCAGCTCCACTGTCACCTCCCAGGCTCGCCCGATGGCTTCCCTGGACAGGACAACAGACACCTCCCGGCCCCTCTCCCAGGGCACACAAGCCACTGGTCAGGCCACTTCTCCATGTGGCGGCCGGAGCGAACCCGGGCCTGCTGTGGGCTCCTCTGGGGACAAAGTCCACAGCCTGGCGTCCTTGAAGGGGCCACTCCCTTCCTCCCCCAGCCCCCAGAATGCCTGCCAGCGAAGGCCGTCCCCGTGCCGCCCTCCCATGTGTAAGCCTGGAGGGCTGGGCTAAAGTGACCGTGCTCAGCACGCAGCAGGTTTGCCTGAGTGACGGAGGACACCGTCTCACAGAAAGAAGGGGGAGCGTGGCTCCCAGCACAGCGAGGGGTGAGGGCCGCGCAGGGTGGGGCTGGGCCCTTGTACTGTTGGCGCCACAGCGGCAGGTGGGACTATGGGTTGGCTCTGCCCGGGGGCGGAGGGGACACTGTGTCGGAGCTGGAGGCAGGAGAGGGCTGGCCTTGCCGGGCCTACCTGTAGGGTAGTGGGGAGGGGTGGGGCTGGGGGGGGGCGCTTGATGCAGGGGGAGGCTGGACTGCTCTGGAGGAGAAACTCCAGGGAGAATAGGGGGTGGCGCAAGGGAGAGGCGAGAGGAGGGGCTAGTCGTGGTGGGAGGGGCTAGGGCCGCAGCAAAGGTCAGGGCGAAGTGGCCAGCAAGGAATTCCCGACGTAGGGCCGGCCGAGGGATTTAAGAGTCATCCGTAGTCAGGTTACGGATGAGCCATAACCTCCTCCTGTGTCCAGCGTAGATCTTTGTAAACACGGCCCATACTCAGTGGCAGGCGCAGGGGAGGCTCAGACAAAGGTTCCTATGCCCTGTGCTTGGGCTGGTGACCCGCCATGAGCGGCCATGGGGCAGGGGCTGGACAGCCCAGGGGAGCAGCGGGTCCCAGGGACAGGGTGGCCGAGGTCAGGGGACATCACAGACCCCAGAGCGGGGAGCAGCTGGGTGGCTGACGGCCAGCCCCAGCCCTGATCTGCACAGCCCGCCTTGCCGGGGGGAGAACAGAAACCCAGCCTGCATGCAGCCACGGCTTCACAATGGAGAGACTGACAGAGAAATCCTGATTTCTGGCTTCCGGCGAAGCATCAGATGACCGGGCTCCTGGGCCCGAGTCCCCATGTGACAAGGCTGCCAAGCTGCTGCCCCTGCAGGCAGGCGCGGGGACTCCAGGTGCCCACCTGGTCCTCCACTCACTCACGGGGCCTTCCTGGCCCAGTTAGGGGTCGGGGATGAGCAGCAGTCCTGGGGGAGGGGTAGCCCATCTGTGCCTGGAACTAAGTGGGGGGAAGTGCCCAGTTAGAGGGAATGGGGTCCATTCACATGTCCCCCCGACTGCCAGAGCGACCCCGCTGCTCCACGAACACCACCCCGATGACATAGCCGCGTGCTCTCCTCCCCCGGGACCCGTCTCTCCAGCCAGTGGACCGTCAGCACATGACGCTGGCCACCAAGGGGACCCCACTGTCCCCAGGGCTTGCTCTGGGATGGGAGAGGGAGCCCTCTGCTGGGCAGTCAGAACCAGGGTCCACCTGGCCTGGCCAGCGAGTCAGGAGTCCTCCAGGGCCTCAGTCTGCCCACCCGGAAGATGGGTGGTGGTTGAGGGCTGGGGCCCTGCCTTCCTCCCCGCAAGCCGCCACGCTGAGTCTGAGCGGCAGGCTCCCGTGGAGGGGAGGACACGCGCCCCCCGCGTCCCTGGGGTGCGATCATGCTGAGGGGTTGGCCCAGAGTCTTGGCTTCACGGGCAGGCGCAGAGCCGGGCCTGGCCTTGAGGAGAGCCGGGCACGGGGACTTTGCTCAGAAGCTCCCCTGGGGCTGGTTCAATGTGTCCTTCCCCCTCCTGCTGGGAAGGAACCGGGAATCAGGGGCTTGGGGGCAGGACCTGGGAATGGCCAGTGAGCCACCCTGGGGCCCTCGTGGTAGCCCTGAGCCCTCTGAGCCCGTCAGACACAGCCAGATGTCTGGGATGGAAGAGCTTGGGGCCCGGGGGGCTTGGGGCCCGGGGCTGGGGACTCGAGGGCCCCTGGGTGAGCTCCTGCGCGGGGGTGGGCGGCAGAGACACTGCTCCATTCAGTGCTGGACGGGCTGCCGGGCGGCATCACCAACAGGGAAACTGAGGCTCAGGCCGAGGCCCAAGCCCAGAGTTGTGTCAGCAGGGCCAGGGGGAAGCTGGAGCCCCGGGGCCCAGCCTGTCCCCAGTCCTCGCCCGTGCTGGCCTCCGTCCGCCTGCCCACCCCAGGCACTGCTGCTTCCTAGCGGGACGCCTGGTGCACCCCCAAAGCTGAGAGGCAGCTGGATAAGTTCCTCTTGCTTGCTGGGGCTCTGCACTCCGGGTCGGGGCCACCCAGGGAGGGGCTTGCCATGCAGCAGGCGGGGGAGGGGATGGAGGAGTGGCCTGCTTGTCCCGTTCGTTCTCTGGGTTCAGCCAGGGTGCGCCCCACAAGGGGTCGAGGCGGGAAGAGACATTTCATGGAGCCGCGGGGTGCAGGCAGGGTGCCTGCAAGCAGGCCGAAAGCCAGAAAGACACCTGAGTGGGGGCCACTGAGGCCGGAGAGCCGTGTCCCCCCAGGGGACTCCAGCACTGCTGGGACTAGACTCCCCAGACCACCCCCTCCAGGGCCTGCCTCCCGGCTGGCTCGGAGCCCGCGGCCACGGCATAGTCCACATTCCCAAGACCCTCTGCAGCCTGGCACGGCCCTCCGCTCCTTCCGCTCCGCTCCCGCGCAGCCCCTGCCGCCACCCCAGCCGGGAAACAAAGCAGGCGCTGTTCTCCCCGCTCCGGCCGCGTCCCCCTCCAGCCTTTACCCGGCCCCCTCCTCCAGCGGGTCCTTCCCGGGGGTTACGGGGACGGCAGTGGCAGTGGCTCGGGGTGTGGGCTCTGGGGTCACCCTGCCTGGGCGGTTTCCTCGTCTGTCAAATGAGAGTCTTCATGGCGCCTTCCTCCGGGGGGACCGGGCTGCGGGCGCCCTCACAGTTGAGAGTCCCGAGCAGGGGCGGACGCGCGGCCCCACCCGGCCCGCCCCCCACGCCAGCCTCCCCCTCCCCT